TATGATTTTTAACGAAAGTGGTTTGTCTCTTGCCGTGGGGCAAGGAGCAAAAATCCATAAGGACGTGCGCGCCCCCATCGAATTAGCAGGATTACCGGTTTTGGTAACCCGTAATAATAAGGCCAGGGTAAAGTCCTTCTGTGAAATGCATCCCGGATCCAAGGAGAGCCATAAAAGTTCTCTCGCACGTATCAAACATACACAACACATATATATGAAAAGGATGACCCCCTTTTTCTTATTTATATTTTATTTTCTTCTTTCCTTCTTCTCCCTCCCTCCCCCCCTGCTTCTTTTAATTGAAAGAAAAAATAAAAAATAGTTGTAAATCTAAAATGAACCTAATGTAAATTAATGGATCAATAATTATTATTCATTATTGAGGAAGGAAGGGGGGGATTATTATTATTATTATTATCATTTTTCGAAGAGTCACTAATCATTTTTACATGGAAATTTCTCGCCTTTTGTATTATTTTCTATGGTATTTTTTTTTTTTTTGCTTTTTAGTTTTTTTTTTCTTTTGAGCTCAGGGTTGCGAGAGTTTTGCAAAGAGTTTGCAAACGATTATGGTTTGCGGGCGCGTTCAGGAATTCTAAACACAGAGGTTACCAGGTATGGCGTAATCGTTCTGCGAAAACGGAACGTTTGGCCTTAATGAAGTCCTCGAAGCTAAACTATTTGAAGAGTCCCTGTCACTGTGAAAAGGTTTTTTTTCTCAAGAAATATATATATATATTATTTTTAAAAAGTGGTATTATAATTATATTATTATTATTTTTATTATTATTATTATTATTATTATTATTACTGTTATTACATATATATATAAATTTATATACTATTAATAACTGAAATAAAAAAATTTATGTTTAAAAACAGTGTCTAAATGAAATTTACAAAAAAATGTGATCAAAAATTCAAGGGTATATTTTTCGACCTTATATTATTCATAAATATGAGTACAACTCCCGTAATTAGGTTCTGTCCCATATATCGATTTTTAGAGCGTGGGAATTGCTCTTTCTATTATAACAAAAAAAAGAAGAAAAAATCAACGAAGCAAAGTGCACAGCAGCTTCAGAAATAGGATTCTTGACTGTTATTTGAACCTATTTTAAATATTGATTGAAAGCACAAAGAACCTACTTTGAATTAACTTTAAACATACATTGTACCTATAAAAAAATCTACTTTGAATATATACATTGAACCTACTTTGGGACTACTTTGAACCTACATAAAACCTACTCTGGAACTACTTTGAACCTAGATAGAACTTACGTTGAACCTAGATAGAACTTACGTTGAACTTACTTTGAGCCTATAAACCTAATTTGAACCCTAGAACCTACTGCGAACCTACAAAGAACCTACTTTGCAACTACTTTGAAACCTACTTTGAGCTACATTGAACTTGGAACCTACATTAAACCTAGTTTTAAAGTACTTTGAACTTACTTTGAGCCCAGAACCTAATTTGAACCTGGAACCTATTGTAAACCTACATAGATCCTACTTTGGAACTTCTTTGAGCTTAGAACCTACATTGAACTTGGAACCTACTTTAACCCTTTAATGGCCGAGTTTTTTGTCGTTACTTTAGGCTTATAATGTATATTAGATTTAATTACTAAAGTATTCAGTATGAGAAAAAAATTTTTTTTAACATGTCTCACCCCTTAAAACCACCCCCACGGTACATTACTACCCCAAAAAAACTGATATTTAACCAAATTGATGAATTAAATATTTTTCAGCTCTTATCTACTTTTTATTTATTTATAAACATTGCCTGGTTGCTTAAAAATTGAAAAGGATCAATAACCCCTTGAAAACACCCTTAAAGTCAAATAATCATTCCTTGACGGTGAAAGTTTTTGTAAATGATTAAAAAAAATCTATAGATTCTAATTGCTTCTAAATTATAAACAATTATTTGAAAGTTACACAGACATAGATAATAATAATAATAAACTCACCCCCTACCCTTGAAGCCCACCCCTAATTCATAACTATTCTCAGTTTGGAACAATCAAAAAAATAATTTTCACTGATTTTCGAAAATATGAAAAAAAAAATTTTCTATGATAACTAAGTATTAATACTGAATATAAACAACCCCTGAAAAACAACCCTTAAGTCAAATAACCACCCCTTAATGATAAATGTTTTTGTGAATAAATGAAAAAAATTATATGGATTCTAAGTGCTTCTGAATTGTAAAAAAGTATTTCAATGTTTCACAGATATGGATAATAATAATAAACTCACCCCCTACCCTTGAAATCCACCCTTATTTATAAGTTATAAGATACTGAATTCAGTTTTCAACAATCAAAAAAATAATTTTCACTGATTATTATCATATTGAGAAATGCATTGAGTACATACTCAATGCACTCCCCTCCACGATGGCGTAGAGGGGAGTGCATTGGGTAAATGAAAGGGGGGGGTACGACAGTAGCAAAGAAGCTCCCATGTGGAACTGCTGTTATAAAGCAATCAGCGCGTCGTTTCGTTTTCTCTGTGTAGCGTTCTCCCACTACCTCACCGATTGAGCCTGGGTCTGTAATTTTCATTTTCATACTAAACTCCTAACAACAAGCACTAAAAGCTACAAAATTAATAGGCAATAATGACACCAGCATTATTTTGCAATTTTAAAAACTGACATCATATTCGTAATTATCGACCCCGAAAACCCCTGAGTAATAAGTTTCAGATGAATCTAATGAAAGTTAATCATTTCGTCCGCCATATTGGATCCGCCATTTTCAATTTTCTAAATCTGATATCGGATTCGTAATCAGCGACCCCGAAAACCCCCCAAGTGACAAGTTTCACATGAATCTAGTGAATTTTTATATTTATCGGCCGCCATATTGGATCCGCCATTTTGAATTCTTAATGACGAACATCGGATTCGTAATCAGCGACCCCGAAAACCCCCGAGTGATAAGTTTCACGCGAATGTAGTAAATTTTTATAATTATCGGTCGCCATTTTGGTTCCGCCATTTTGAATTTTTGAAAACGGACATCGGATTCGTAATCAGCGACCCCGAAAACCCCCGAGTGATAAGTTTCACGGGAATCTAGTAAATTTTTATAATTATCGGTCGCCATTTTGGATCCGCCATTTTGAATTTTTGAAAACGGACATCGGATTCGTAATCAGCGACCCCGAAAACCCCCAAGTAACAATTTTCAAGCGAATTTATTAATTTTTAAAGGTTTTGGTTTTTAGGGGTAGTTTTAGTTATTTTTCTGCACCCTCGGGTTGAATTTTTAATATTAATTTTTTTTTACAAAGGTTGCAATATTTTTAAACATATGTTACTATGAAAGCCTGAAAAAAAAATTTCTTCTGAAATTTATACCTGTTTTTTCATTTTTCTCATTTTTCGGGTTTTTTGAAGGGGTGTATTTCAAAGAGGGTAGTTTTTTAAAAAAATACATGTATTTACATTTGTTACTCTATCCCTCCCCTTCAAAATGAGATCTTAGTGGAGTTAATCGATTAAGTTTTAAGAAAGTTATGATTTTTTGAAGTAGGTGGGACGTATGTGTCCCACTGGCCATGAAAGGGTTAAACCTATTTTAATTCTATATAGAACTTACTTTGTAACAACTTTGAACCTTTATTGAGCCTAGAATCAACTTTAAACTTGGAACGTAGTTAAAACCTATTTTGATCCTACATAGAACCTATTGTAGAACTACTTTGAATGCGGAAACTACTTTAAACCTATTTTAGCTTACATAAAACCTACTTGGAGCCCAGAACCTACTTTGAACTTGGAACCTACTTTAAACCTATTTTGATCATATATAGAACCTACTTTGGAACTATTTCGAACCTACTTTAGATCTACTTTGTACCTACTTTGAGCCTAGAACCTAATTTGATTCCTAAAACCTATTTTGAACCTATTTTGGAACTACTTAAACCTACTTTGAACCAACATAGAATCTACTTTGAGCGTAGAATCTAATTTGATCCTAGAACCTATTGTAAACCTACTTTGAACTTGGAACCTACTTTAAACCTATTTTGATCATACATAGAACCTACTTTGAAACTACATTAAACCTACTTTGAGCCTACATAGATCCTACTTTGAACCTACTTTGAAACAACTTTAAACCTACTTTGAGCCTACATAGATCCTACTTTGAACCTAATTTTGAACGACTTTGAGTCTAGAACCTAATTTGAACCTAGGACCTACTGTGAACCTACTTTAGAACTACTTTGAACCTTCTTCGAGTCTAGAACATTGTAAATACACTTTAAACCTACATTGAGCTTATATAGAACCTATTTTGTTACTTCTTTGAGCCTAGAACCTAAGTTGAAGCTAAAACCTTCTGTAAACCTACATAGAATCTATTTTAAAACTTCTTTAAGTCTAGAACCTAAATTGAACCTGGAACCTTCATTAAACCTATTTTTAAAGTATTTTGAACCTACTTTTCGTCAAGAACCTAATTTGACCCTAGAACCTTATTTAAACCTTGAACCTACTATAAACCTACATAGGTCCTACATTGGAACTATTTCGAACCTACTTTAGCTCTACTTTGTACCTACTTTGAGCCTAGAACCTAATTTGATTCCTAAAACCTATTTTGAACCTGTTTTGGAACTACTTAAACCTACTTTGAACCTACATAGAATCTACTTTGAGCGTAGAACCTAATTTGATCCTAGAACCTATTGTAAACCTACAAAGAACCTACTTTGAACTTGGAACCTACTTTAAACCTATTTTGAACCTACTTTGGAACTACACGTTAAAACTACATAGATAGAGCCTATTTGGAATCTCTGTAGAACCTACTTTAAATGTACGGTTAACCTACTTTGAACCTATTTTGTACCTACTTGAACCTATATATTTGTACCTCTGCATTGAGTCATAAATTCCTTTTAAAAGAACGTATTTAAATTTAAAAATGTCTAATTCATTTTTTGTCTCTTGTTATTTGTTACAGATTCGCGTAATGGCTCATCGGAAATCAATGATTTGTCGGTGGGTGCCGTGCCAAATTTAGGCAATGTTGCAGGAGTTGGTGGCGAGGATATGGCGTCATTGTGGGCCTCATATACAATGGGCCTTAAGAAAACACCACCGCCAGCATCATCGAGCACACCGTCGCGATCCGATAGAGATAGAGAATCAAGTCCCGCTGGTGGTGAGGGTACAGGTAGTGCACACGATGAGACGAGCAGCAGTGGAAATAAAGAAGATGAGGACGACGACGATGAGGACGCTGATGAGAGGCTCGATCCACGACATCACGATCCAGAACGTCTTAAAGCATTCAATGTAAGTTATAATATAATTGGAAACAAAATATATGAAAAGTTCTTTTTTTTATTTAAAAAAAAAAAAAAGAGATTTGTGTTTACAACAAAATCGTTTGGTTATTATAGGCAATTTTGGTTCTTGTAACCAAATTTTTGGTTGGCTGAAACAAAGTCGTAGAGTTATGTCAACCAAACATTTTTAAAATTCCAACCAAAATTTGGTTACAAGAAAATAATTTGGTTAACAAAACAAACAGATGAACACGGAAAAACAAACAGACAGACAGATAAACGGAAAAACAGACAGACAAACTGACTGACAGAAAGACGGACAAATTTACAGACAGTCAGATAGACGGACATACAGTTTTATTTTCTTGCAGACAGACAGACAGATAGAGAGAGTGGGGGTCGGGAGGAAGGAAATAAAAAGAATTAACTTTTATGGTTACAAAAGAAGCGAAGGGGAGATAAAATTAGAGGAAAGAAGGAAGGTATAAATTTTTCCTTTCCCTCGACTTCTACCTCTTAGTTTCTTTCTGGTTTCTTTTTATTCTTTTTTACTTTTTTTTTTTTTTTTTTTTTGCGGAACGCCCCCACAAGCTCTCTCTCTCTCTCTCTCTCTCTCTCTCTCTCTGAAGTTGGCCGTGAGCCGTTACGGCCGCCACTGCTTCTTAATTAATTACAATTAGTTTAATAGAGGCCGGGTTCCCCCCTCCTCTTTCTCTCTCTCTCTCACTCTTTGCCGCTAAATTCTTAATTCCTTTAAAACACCACACGCGCGGTTCAAGCGCACGAATTCTCATTTATCATTCCGTCTTTGTGAGTTTTTAATTTTTAATTTTTTTTTTTTTTTAATTTTTAGTTTCCTTTCTTTATATAATATTCATTGTGAATTTTTTTTTTTATTTATATCTAGATGTTCGTGAGGCTCTTTGTTGATGAGAATCTTGATCGTATTGTTCCAATTTCAAAACAACCAAAGGAAAAAATTCAAGCGATCATTGACAGTTGCACGAGACAATTTCCAGAATTTGCTGAACGTGCACGAAAACGAATTAGAACATATTTGAAAAGTTGTCGAAGAAATAAACGTGGACGAGAAGGAGCTGCATGGGATGCTGTAAGTTTTTAGAATATTTAGAAGAGAAGTTAAAAAAAAAATCGATTCAAAAAAAACTTTATTTTTTTTTTAAGTAAAAAATAATTTTTTTTTTAAGTAAAAAATAATTTTTTATTTTTGTATTGAAATTTTTGAAATTTTTATTTTTTTCTTCTCTGGTATAGGCGAGACCAACGCCAGCGCATTTGACCTCGGTGCAAGCTGAACAAATTTTGGCAACAGCCTGTGAAAATGAGAGTGACAATGCAAAACGTATGAGGGTCGGTCTGGAACCAGTTTCCCAGCCAATGCCAACGCTTCCCGCAGCAACGGTAGGAAAAAAAAATTTTTAATTGCAATTTATAATTTCAAAAAAAAAAAAAAAAAATTGTTTTTAGAAAAAAAAAACGAAAACAAAATTCTATCTATTTCTATCCTTTTCCATCGATTTCTATATAATTCTATCAATTTCTATTTGATTGTATCAAATTTCTATCCTTTTCTATCGATTTCTATACAATTTTATTGATTTCTATTTGATTTTATCAATTTCTATCCTTTTCTATAGATTTATATACAATTCTATTGATTCCTATACAATTCTATCTGTTTCTATTTGATTTTATCAATTTCTATCTTTTTCTATCGATTTCTATACAATTCTATCGATTTATATATACTTTTATACATTTCTATTTGATTTTATCAATTTCTATCCTTTTCTATCGATTTCTATTCAATTGTATTGATTTCTATTTGATTTTATCAATTTTTATCCTTTTCCATAGATTTATATATAATTCTATCGATTCCTATACAATTCTATCTATTTCTATTTGATTTTATCAAATTTCTATTTCTATTCGATTTTATCAATTTATATCCTTTTCTATCAATTTCTATACAATTCTATCTATTTCTATTTGATTTTATCAATTTCTATCCTTTTCTATCGATTTCTATACAATTCTATCGATTTATATATACTTTTATACATTTCTATTTGATTTTATCTATTTATATCCTTTTCTATCAATTTCTATACAATGCTATCTATTTCTATTTGATTTTATCAATTTCTATCCTTTTCTATCGATTTCTATATAATTCTATCGATTTATATATAATTTTATATATTTCTATTTGATTTTATCAATTTCTATCCTTTTCTATCGATTTCTATACAATTTTATTGATTTCTATTTGATTTTATCAATTTCTATCCTTTTCCATAGATTTATATACAATTCTATTGATTCCTATACAATTCTATCTATTTCTATTTGATTTTATCAAATTTCTATCCTTTTCTATCAATTTCTATACAATTCTATCGATTCCTATTCTTTTCTATCGGTTTCTATATAATTTTTCTAAATTTTATTCTTTTCAATCGATTTCTTTATAATTTTACTAATTTCTATTCTTTTCAATCGATTTCTTTATAATTTTACTAATTTCTATTATTTTCTATAAGTTTCCACACAATTCTATCCTCACTTAATTTTATCGAACCTTGTGTACAGCCCTTTTAGAAAATAAATGTAAAAATTTTCAAAATTGAATATGATATTTTACATTCTTTTGTTTTTTGTCGACACCTTCTTTATTTTTTTTTGTTCGCTAATTTAGTGCATGTTTATATCTCTCTTCTTAATATTTAGGATACGATGAGTGTTTTTCTTAACCCATATCCTGCTCGCAATCCATTCACTTGACGATTGTGACCAAATGTATATATAGATATATCTTTTTACTCTGAAAATCCCTGCTAGAAACGATAACCCCCGCTGACCTAAACCTAACCCATTAAGAAGATCTCTACGCAGTCCATTCTGGCGGTTATCTGCCGTGGCACCTATATAATTGACGTCAACGCATATACTGCTCGCCTTTCATAAAAACACCTCCCAACATCCGCTACAAGATTTCATCTTCTGCCTTCTCCCTACCACCACCACCCCCCTTCTCTCCCTCTCTCTTCTCTCTCTCTCTCTCTTTTTCTCCTGCTCCTGTTGTTGAACCCCCGCCACTCACTTCTACCCCGTTTTTTGTGCTTTGTCCCTCTTTTTCTTTCGTCTCCTTCACTGCCATCATCATCACCCGCTCGCTCTCCACCCCCTGCCCCCCTTTTTGGCTCCCTCGTTATTCTGAATTCTTAGCGAGCTTACTCACACGCGTCGACGCTAAACGTTAAAACATCTGGTCTTTTTAGTCTCTCACCGTTTCTCCGTCTCTTCTCGCTCTCTTATTATTATTCGTTCCCTCCTACTCCACTTACCTCTCTTTTTCTTCAACTATTTTTTTTTAAACAAACTTTTTTTTTTATGATTATTGAGAATTTTTTTTTAATTTAGCATTCTTTTTTATAGATAGAAAATAAAATTTGGAGTTTATGAGGATCGAAGTTTATGCAATTCTATATGATTCCATAGGAGATGAAAGAAATATTAATATTGATTTTTCATGATTTCATTTTATTATTATTTTTCTATTATACACTGACAAAAAAAAATTATTTGATATTTGATATTTGATATTTATTTTATATAGACTTAAATAGAAATGTATAAGTTTTTATAGAAATTTATAGATTTGCATTGAAATGTATAGATTTGTATAGAAATCTATAGATTTATATAAAAACGTATATAAAATGGAATAAAAATATCATAGAAATAAATAACTTTTCGATATTCTTGCAAAAAATAATATTTTCTATAGACTTAGTTAAGTAAGAAAAGAATAGATTTTAATAGAAATTTATAAGTTTTTATAGAAACATATAAAATAAAATAACAATATCATAGAAATAAAAAAAAAATTTAATCTCCTTGCAAAAAGAATTTTTTTATATATAGACTTAGATAGAAATTTATAGGTTTTTATAGAAATATATATAGATTTGCATAGAAACGTATAAAATAGGATAAAAATAACCGAACACATAAATATAAATGTTTCAAAAATTGTTAGAATTTTCATTTTATGGAGTTTCATTTGTCATAATTATTTTTGAGCCTAATTTTTCTTTGTTCGAATTCATATTTTGCAAGAATTTTCATCAAACCAATTTTCTATATTACTGAATTTTTATACTTAACCGATAAATCATTTAACAGAATTTCTAATCGATAGAATTTTCATTTGTTCGAAATTGCAAATGGTCAAACAAAGAATATCGATTTTGGCGCGATTTTTAAAATAAAAAATTATCCATAAAATTGTGATTGGTTGATTTTAAAAATCGCGCCAAAATCGATTGTTGTTTCGGCCATTTGCAATTTCGGACAAATGAAAATTCTATCAATTAGAAATTCTGTTAAATGATAATAAATATTATTATTATTATTATTATTATTATTATCAAATAATAATTTGAACAAATGAAAATTCATCTGAAGGAATAAAATGAAAATTTGATGCAATGAAATTCTACCCAATAAAAATTCTTTAAAATGCCAATTATGTTAAATGAAAATTCGAGAAAATACAAATTCTGACAAACAAAAAATTGGAAGAAATAAAAATTCTGTGAAGTGAATTTTCGGTTATATAAAAATTCGGTAATATAGAAAATCAGTTTGATGAAAATTCTTATGCAAAATTCTAATTCGAACAAATAAAAATTCGGCTCAAAAATAATTATGACAAATGAAACTCCATAAAATAAAAATTCTAACAATTTTTGAAACATATATTTATGTGTTCGGATATTTTTATCCTATTTTATACGTTTCTATGCAAATCTACATATATTTCTATAAAAACCTATAAATTTCTATCTAAGTCTATATATGAAAAAAATTCTTTTTGCAAGAAGATTAAATTTTTTTTTTATTTCTATGATATTGTTATTTTATTTTATACGTTTCTATAAAAATTTATAAATTTATATTAAAACACTATTCTTTTCTTACTTAACTAAGTCTATAGAAAATATTACTTTTTGCAAGAATATCGAAAAGTTATTTATTTCTATGATATTTTTATTCTCATTTTATATACGTTTTTATGTAAATCTATAGATTTCTAAACAAATCTATATATTTCAATACAAATCTATAAATTTCTATAAAAACCTATACATTTCTATTTAAGTCTATATAAAATAATTATCTTTTTGCAAGAATGTTAAAATCTTTTTTCTTCTATTGTTATCCTTTTTCATACCTTTCTATAAAAATCTAGATACATTTCTATTGTAATTTCTATTGTAAATAAATTAATTCTATTTCTCTTTCTCTCTTATATATCTGTAAAGTGATTTGTTTAGTTTCTGTCTCTCTCTTTTCGCGGTTTGCTCCTCCCACTGATCAATCTCTTTTCTTTCTTTTTCTCTCTCTCTCTTCTCCTCATTTACCCACACCAAACGAAGAAGACGCGCGAGAGCACGTGCTAGAAAAAAAGTTGAACGGATTCTCCGGGTTGTTTATATCGATTCATGTCGCGCGCGTTGCTCTCGTCTACGCCGATGATCTCCCTTAAAAAAAATAAAAATAAAAATAAAATTCACCTGCCGCGAGCGATACGATCATCGATTTCCAGTGATCGATAGCTAATCCGGGTGCGATAAGTGACTGTGATTAGCAATTCCTTAAAGCGTTTTGGAAATGAGGAAGAAGAACCTTCGGGTCCTCCATAAACAGGTGTACAATTCAGCCCACACGCATCAGGTCATTTATTTTAATTAACACATTTCACTGATGATGATGATGATGATGATGATAATAAATTATCGTATAATTATATATTGATGAGAATTTTTTTTTTTTTGTTTCATTCATTTATAATAAAAATTTTTATTTTTTTTCGAGAGGAAAACAATTTTAGCAAATATTCGATTTTCGCGTAAACAAAAACATATTTAAATTAATTTTAAAAAAATGATTAAACAAATTAAATTCAATGTGGAATAATTTAATTATATTTTTTTATATTTTTATTTATTTTTTATTTATTTTTATTTGGTTTAATATTTTTGTATTTTTAATAAATTAATTTATTTCTATTTGGTTTAATATATTAATGTATTTTTATTTTGTTTCATTTTTTTAATGTTTAATTATATTTTTAGTATATAAATTAATTTTTTATTTGTTTCATATTTATATATATTTCCATACATTAATTTATTCTTATTTTGTTATTTTTTCAATTTTATTTTCCAGAATTAATTTTGCATTCCGATCATAAATTCAAGAGAATTTTTTTTTTGATTTTCCTTAACTAATACAAAAATAATGTTTAATCATTAATCTAATTTTAATAGCAAGTTTTGTAAAAAAAAAAGAAAAACTTTTGTTTTAATTTTCATACATGTACAAAATTATAAATTTTAATTTTGGGAAAAAAAAATTGTTTCAGATTTTCTTTCTTTCTTTTTGAGAAAAGTGACTTGTTAATTATTATTATTATTATTATTATTATTATTATTATCAACGAGAGTCTTGAAGCCACAGAAATTTTACTCCAATAATCTACTAACCACCATCACAGGCTTAACTCGTTCGTTCACCTTTGCAGCTTATCGGAGCTGATAAGGATCGATAGGTTTGCATAACAAGTCGCAGTTTGCTCACTCGCTTTGATTCTTTTGTTGATGTTTTCTACCAGTCAATATAGCATTGCTATAAAGTGCGATTTTTTTTTTTGTATATTTGATACGTAAAAATTTTCTTTCAATGATTTCGTTTTTTTTTTTTTTTATTGATTTTATTTTTTGTTGAAAAAATTTTTCCCTTTTTCTTTCTTTTTTGCTCTCTATATTTTTTCTTTCTCTCTTTTTTCGCTTTTTCTTTCTTTTTTTATTTTTTTAAATTTTTCTTTATTTTTTTTCTTTCTCTATTTTTTTAATTTTTATTTTTTTCTCTTTCTCAGTTCCCTTATTTTTCCAAAAACGAAAATTTAAAGATCGAAAAGCAAATTAACAAAAAAAAAGAGCTTAAAAATTGTTCAAAAATCTGTCACGGGGAGAAAAATCATTTTTTTTTTTTTGTCTCAAAGGGCTTGAAGAGGAAAAAAAAATTGAAAAAGTCGGGGATTAAATATATATATACATGCACATACATATACATATAGTGGACGTATAATATATAACGTGCGACCCACAAACAAGTGATTCCATTCATTACTTTCGGAGCGCTTCGGAAGTTCGAAAGGACAAGCAAACTAGAGCGACGCGTGTAAAAATGAAAAGCGATAAACCTATCATTCGTGAAGCAAAAAAAAAAAAAAAAAAAAAAAAATAGAGAGAGAAAGAGAGAGGGACCTCTCTACACACGAGGCGAATATCGTTGAGAGCGCGTTTTAGTTTTATGTTTTGGTCGTTATTAGTCACTATCGCCCCAGAGAGTGTGTCAGCTTGAAATTTCCGTTGCCACACTAATTCTCGTTTTTTTTTTTTTACTCACTCTCCTCTCACATATATATATATATATATATATACAAACACACAGACACATTCAAACACTATATGACGATTCAGAGAAGCCACACGGCCAGATAAGCAAATCCAACTTGTTACATTCGTTGAATTCAACTGTAAAATATAAATTTTATTACATATTGAAATAAATTTTTTTTCACTCTTGTTGAAAAAAAAAAAAAAAAAAATATTGAAGGAAAAATTGCGGAAGATTTAATTTAGATGTGAATTTTTTTCTTTAATTGTATATGCATAATTTAGTACCACCAAATAGTGGTGGTTACATTTTATATAGATAAGTCTAAGAACTTACCGTTTATATGGTAAACGCTATATTTAAAATTTATTGTGCGGAAAAACTTACCGTCCATCACTTACCGTCAATAAGGTATAAATGTTTCAAAAATTACTATATTGAAACTTACCGTTACCTTAATTTACCATCGAAAATATTTACGCTTTTATTGAAAATTACCGTCTATTCACTTACCGTTATGCATGTGCGACTTACCGTTCAAAAAATAATTCTTTACCGTTACTGGTGAAATTTACCGCGTTTATACTTATTTGGCGTCGAAAATATTTTTAAACTTCTGAAAATTTACGTTTTAGAAAATTACCGTCTATTCACTTACCGTAATGATAAAATATATACCGTGCTTCACTTACCGTCGACAAAATTAATGCTTAAATACAAATTATTGCTTTTGAAACTTACCGTATATTTATTTAGCTTCAAATTGTTTTTGCTTTTATATAAAATCTTATTTTTAGTTAAAAATACCGCCAATTCACTTACCGTTACGCATGTGCGATTTACTGTTCAATAAAATAAACTTACCGTTACTTTTTGAAACTTACCGCGTTTACTTATTTACCGTCTAAAATATATACGCTTACATTGAAAGTTTACGTTTTAGAAAATTACCGTCTATTCACTTACCGTTATACAAATACAACTTACCGTTCCACAAAAAAAAACTTACTGTTTATTCACTAATCTCTATAGAAAATATTTACCGTGCTTCACTTACCGTCGAAAAAATTAATACTTACTAATAAATTACTGCTTTTGAAACTTATTATTTAGTTTCAAATTGTTCTAACATTTATATAAAATCTTATATTCAGAAAGTTACCGTCTATTCACTTACCGTTACAATAAATCACTTACCGTCCATACAATAGAAATGGTATTTAAAGCCAAAAAAATTACCGTATATTTGCTTACCGTTAATAAGATAATTATAATAGGAAAAAAATAATTTCTTTTAAACTTACCGTCTTTCACTTACCGTTCGTATAATAAAAATCGTTTTTAAAAAGTGCAAGTGTATAGGAAATTCTCGTTAATTCGCACTTACCGTTTCTGTCATCAATAAAAAAAATAATTTTTCTTAAACTTACGTTCTTCACTTACCGTCATTTTGATATTATTACTTACCGTCATTACCGTATAATTCGTATTTTAAAATACCTGTTTTAAAACTTATAGATTATTTAATTTTATCTTCATAACTTTTAATTGTTCTATTTAGAAATTTATTACTCAAAAAAATTACCGTTTTTTCACTTACCGTCAGGGTAAATCACTTACCGTCTAGAAAATAAAAGTCGCATTTTACATTAGTTGTAAGAAAATTTACCATAATCACTTACCGTCCATACGGTTAATATATCATTTGAATAAAATTACTCAACTTACCGTCCTTCACTTACCGTTAATAAAATTAATGAAATTTATTTTTAATGAATTACAATATCAAGTAATTAAATTTTTTAAAATCTATTGTCTATAAATAGTCAACGATTTAATGTGTAAAATCTTTTTTTTTTTTTTAGAAACTTACCGTCTATTTATTTACCATTAAATTACTTACCGTTCATATACAAAAACCAACATTTCATTTTCAAATGTTTTCTTATTAATTTACTTCTCATCTATATTTTTATTAAATCAAAATTGAATTTTTTCTTCAAAAAGAAAAAATTTAATAATAAAAAAAAAATAGAAAAAAATAGAAATAGAATAAAAATTGTTTGTTATATTTTTGCTGTTCAAAAATTTTGAGACTGAAATAATGTTTGTTTTTCTGTTTGCAGCAAACGGATGTTCGAGCTAGCTTGGAACATTTTTCAAGCACGCCGGTAAAATCACTTCCGGGAAAACGCGAGGACACCCCACCAGCCTCACTGACATCGTTGGCGCCACTAACCAGTTTGGCCAATCTACAAAATAGCAATCTCACCTCAACGCCCCTGTCACTTGCACCTGCATCCAAATTACTTACAGCCACTGATAATAAAAGTCTCATGAGGTTGGTATTCATTGATATTTTCTCTTTTATGCCATCCCTTTTTTTTTTTTATTATTCAAAATGAAATTGCAAAATTTTCAAAAAAAATTTTTAATTTCTATTTTTTTCAATTCTATTTATTTTTTTTTGTGCGTATAGATAATTATTATTTTGTTAGTCAAAGACAGAAGGAAAGAAAAATTTTCAGGCCCTTCAGATTTGACTGTATTTTGAAAGAGATAAATTATTGTTAAATAATAACAGAAGTTGATAAATCTCTTTTATCAGCAGTCGATAAAACAGATGTATCGATACTGAAACATATCTGTTTAACCAGCTGTTGATAAAACAGATTTATCGGTACTGAACAAATCTGTTTTATCAGCCGTCGATAAAATAGATTTATCGATACTAAAAAAATTTGTTTTATTAGCAGTTGATAAAACAGATATATCGGTACTAAGAAAGATCTGTTTAACCAGCTGTTGATAAAACAGTTTTATCGGTACTGTACAAATATTTTATCAGCTGACGATACATAGATTTATCGTCGCTTATAAAATCTGTTTTATCCACTTCCAATAGTTATCGGCACTAAATCAATCTGTTTTATCCGCTTCTGGAAAAACAGAGTTATCGACATCAAACAAATTTGTTTTATCGACACTTAAAAATCTGTTTTACTCACTTCGGTAGCTATTGGTATTAAACCAATCTGTTTTACCCGCTGTCGGTAAGAGTTACTGGCATTAAACAAAATAAACTGTTTTATCCACTTTCAGTAAAACAGATTTAACTGCTTTAACTCTTTTAATTAATTTATTTTTTATTAACCTGTCGATAAAATAAATTTAATTACGTTAAGCCAATCTGTTTTATCAGCTTTTGATAAAAAAAAACAGTTGTATCGACACTTAAAAAATCTGTTTTATCCACTTTCGGTAAAACAGAATTATTGGCTCTAATTCTGCTTTACCCGCTTCTGGTAATACAGAGTTATCGGAATTAAACAAATCTGTTTTATCCACTTTCGATAAAACAGATTTAACTGCTTCTTTTTTTTCAGTGTAATTTGTAGTTTATTATTGATTTTCAAAAAAGAAAATTTTGAAAAAAACGAATTTTAAGTGTTTTGTGTGTAAAATAAAAAATTTAATGGAAAAAAGGGGAAAAAAATTTTCTCAATTTTTTTCAATATCTTTTTTTTTCTTCTTTATTCTAATTTTTTTCTCTTTCTTTTTTTCATAGTCAAACAACGATAGTCAGTTCGTCAGCAGTAAATGGAGTTGCAAGTGCAGCAGCACCAACTGCAATGTACAGACCTAACTTTAGTCAAGCTTTCCAGCGCGCTGGACCAACAACAGTGCCACCAACATTATCGGCTGGACTTTATCCAACACAGAGCTTCACATCGGGCCTGCTGAGCAACGGTACACAAAGTAATACTCGTTATCGGTGTTTACTTTAGTTCACTTCCGGCTCCTTGTCCATTTCCTTCATGTCACTGAGCTTCATAACTATATATTATATCTCTAATTTATATCAAACAAAAACAAAAAATCGAAATTTTAGAACAAAAAAAAAAAGTTTCTATTTCAAAAAAAAAAAAAAAATTATATCAAACAAAAACAATAATCTCAAATTTAGAACAAATAAAAGAAAACTTTCTTTTTATTTCAAAAAAAAAATTTATAAAATTTTATGTTAAGTACCATTGTAAGGAAACATTTTTTTCCAAATATTTTCGAAATTTAGAAATTTTTTTAGAATACGGGACGCATGAATATGTTCTAAAAATCATTAGTTAGAATTTTCATTTTATGGAAATTTATTTGTCATAATTATTTTTGAGTCGAATTTTTATTTGTTCGAATTATTATTTTGCAAGAATTTTCATAAAAAAGATTTTCTATATTGCAGAATTTTTATATAACCTAAAAATTTAGATTACAGAATTTTTATTTGTTCGAATTTTTATTTGCTCAAATTTTCATTTAAAATAATAGAAGATTTTAAAGAATTTTTATTGGAGAGAATTTCATTGCATAGAATTTTCATTTTATTCTTTTTAGATGAATTTTCATTTGTTCGAATTATTATTTGATATAATTTCCATAAAACCGATTTTTCTGCTGAATTTTTACTTAACCGAAAAATCATTTAATAGAATTTCTAATTAATAGAATTTTCATTTGTCCGAAATTGCAAATGACCGACAATCGATTTTGGCACGATTTTTAAAATCAACCATTCAAAAAAATTATCCATAAAATTGTGATTAGTTGATTTTAAAAATCGCGCCAAAATTCGATTATTGTTTCGGTCATTTGCAATTTCGGACAAATAAAAATTCTATCAATTAGAAATTCTGTTCAATAATTTTTCGATTAAATAAAAATAAAATATTATTACAAAATTTTTATAATATTATTATATTAATACAGTAGTATTATGGTCATTAATATAATATTAATATTGTCTTATATATTTTATATTCTAATTCAAAATTTTCGTTTTTAGGACCAACTGATTTGAGTATGAAGAACACAAAACCATTATTGAGCCATAAATTAAATGCAACAGAAATGACAGCAGTACGACAATTAATAACCGGCTATCGAGAGTCAGCGGCCTTTCTTCTACGATCAGCTGATGAACTCGAACAACTTCTATTGCAACAACCTTAAAAAGAATATATATGTTTTTTTTTTATTTTCTGTTTTTCTCTGTACTTTTTTTTTAATTCACTTTTTAATTTCAAATCGAGCGCCGAAAGCAGCGCCACTTGAAATGAACCAATATGTTACACACCGAGCAAAATCATTTTTGCGACCGACTGTCGGCAATGCAGATTTTACTGTCAACTTTTTATTATCTATAAAAATATATCTAATATTATTAATAATAATAATAATAATAATAATTATAATAATAATAATTATAATAATAGAGATTATCGACGCTTGATAACGTTTGTCACGCTATAAAAAAAAAATTCCTATATATATTCAAAGTACGTGTTTCTGTTTTTTCTCGCGCGAAAAAGAAAATCGTTTTTGAAAAAAAGGAAAAATAAAAAAACGAGCTTCACGTTCCGCCCCCTTTTTCTTCTTCGTGAGCGATTCTTATTGAGCTTGAAATCTTGATTATTTATCAAGTGTTTCAAATAAAAAGAAAAAAAAAATATTGACAGGGTGTAAATATAGAAAAAAAAAAATGGAAAGACGATATTTACTTAATTAATAATTAAGCTCGGAATTATTGCTATATATATATGTATATGAAGTAAGCTCGGTGCGTGAATATATATATAGATATATTTTTTTTGCTGTTCAAATTTGACGAAAGAAAAAAAATGCAAAAAATATCCGAAAAAATTGCAATATGTAATTTTTTTTCTCATTTTTTACAATTGGATATTTTGTTTTAACTTTGCTATTATTAATTTTTTTTTTTTTTTATTGTAAACCAAAACGAAGGAAATTTTTCCTTTCGTTCCTCGATTGAAAAACGGGCACGTGCCACACAATTAATAATTAATATTAAATAAATATAATTATTCGTTACACTTGTAAATATATATGGTATAAGAGAGGAAAAAAAAGAATAAATAAAAAAAAAATTGGATTTTTATTTGTTAAACTCGATAACAAAAATCGTAATTATCGTAAAAAGCTTTGTTTTTTTTTTAATTTTTGTGCGCACTTGTAAAAAAAATAATTTTTTTTCAATAAAGAATTTTTGGCCCGATTTTCATAAAAACAAATTTGTAAAAGAGATATTAAACTCTTTAAATTTTTGGGGACCATTTTATAAATTTCAAAGCGAAATTGTTTTTTTTGAAATTTTATTTTGTTTCTTTTTTTTTGTAGCAATTTTTTTTTTTTTCATAATGTATGTGTGTGTATGTATGTGCTTCACCGCGCTACCAAAGAACAGAATAAATAAATAATTAACAATATATTAAAAGTTTACTAAACAAAAAAACAAAACACAAATAATTAATTAAATAATTAAATTTTGAATAAATTAATATTATATATATATATATAGTCATAGCCTCAAAAAAGTATATATATATATATATGTATAATATTCTCGACTTAATGCTTCGAGTTACTTTTACTGCCCCTTGCCCTTAAAAAAAAAAAAAAAAAAAAACTCTTCGGCACAAAGTACAAGAATTTCAAAATAAAGTCTTTGGAAGCAAAAACGAAAAGAAAGAAAGAAAGAAAATAAAAAAAGCAAAAAAAAAAAATAATATAGGCTAATTTGAATATATTTATAAGGATTACAAACAATTTTTGTTATAAAGATTATTGTTGATTTTCAGAGTTACGTTTTTAAATTACGTTTTTCATTTTGTAGATTAATTTTTGCGGTTTTTTTTTAAATATTTTTTTTTTTTTTTTTTAATATATTCAGGCAAGGAAATTCGAGTAAAAGAAAAAAGGAAAAATGAGAGAAAAATTGATATTGGATAATTTTTTTTTCACAGAGGACCATTTTTTTTGGAAATTGGGGTAATGTGACACATAAACGGGGTAAAGTGGTACCAAGACGGGGTAATAATAATTGTTATACTGTTTTTGTATTCGGGGTAATGTGACACTAAGAACGAAGAAAAATGTAAACGGGGTAAAATGGTACCAAGGCGGGGTAATGTGACACATAACGGGGTAAAATGTCATCCAGTCAGGGTAATAATTTTTATTCCGTTTGGAGTAATTGGTATAATATAACCAACAGGAAAAAACGAGGTGAAATGTGGAATAATGTAAAACCATTTTTTTTTGTAATTGGGGTAATGTGGCACATTTAAAAAAAAACGGTGTAAAATGTTACCAATGTCGAATTAATAGTAATTGTTTTATGTATACCATTATTTTTTTTTGGTCCTTTTGCAAAATGAAAATTAATCCAATGTTCAAAAAATATATAAACGGATGTAAAAATAAAATATATGTTATTAGCGAATCAAGAGAATTCGTTGGTACTTGGTCTGTTGTTTTTTTGTAAATAGTTTATACGTCGATTTAAATAATATAAATAGGAATTATATTAAATATAAATATATTATATATTTAAGGCTATTTGAATTGCGAACAAGAATTAATAAATATTGTATATGAAAGTCCATATTATCAGAGTTGGGCAGTCGAAATAAAAAATAAATAAATGTTCCACAATGTAAAAAAATTTTTATGTAATTTTCCTGTAATATTTTCTTTAATTATTACAGTTGTTTTTTAAAATTCATTTTTGTCGCGAGAAAAAAATACGTTTTTTGTTTTTTTATTTATTAAAATTGAATCAGTAGATTTTAATTTTATTTTTTGATTTAAATTTTTTTTGACTTATATTTGTTTATTTCTTTATTTTCAAAAATATTCTTTTTTAAAACACTTAAAATGTTTTTTCTATTTTTTAAGGTTGTTAAAATTGTTAAATGTCTTTTTATAATTTTAATTTTTTTCATTTCAGAATTTTGATATTAATGTTAAAATATCTTTCATCTCATTTTCTGATTTCTTTGAAAAAATCAGAATTTCAAAAAAAAAAAAAATTGTAATAAATTTCAAATAAAAAAAATTTATTAATTACCAATTTTTTTTTTTATTTTTTTCTTTCTTTTTTAAAGGAAAATTCAATGCTCGACTCTGATTATATTTGCTGTTGTGCGCTGAGAAAAATTCACTGAAAAAGAAAATAATTTTTTTTTCTAAACACACATTCCCCGGCAAATTAACAACAGTCAAATTACAGAAAAATGAACCTTTGCGCCTTTCGTTTCGCGTGAATTTTTTGTTATCAATTTTTTTCTTTTTTTTTTATAGAGAAAAAAAATATAGAAATTAAGATTTAAAAAAAGCATTAAGAAAATAATAAATAAACATTGAAACCTCAACGAATTTCAACGAAAGTTCATTGTTCTGAATTTGATTTTTAAAAAAATTTACCTCACGATAAAAAAAAAACTTGTCTTTTGACTTTTCGATCTCAGACAATTTATATTTTCTCGTAATTTTCGTCTTCTTCTTCTTCTTCTTCTTCTGTAAACTAGAAAAAAAAATCGTTAGCATTTTTATCATTTATATTTTTTCTCAAAATAGAAGTTAGAAGAGGAAAAAAAAATTTATACTTTTCGGTCAGAAAATAAACGAAGACAAAAAAAAAAGGTATCGATAATAATACCTCTGTGATAAAAAGAAAAATTTAAACCGAAAAGTAAGCAAATAAAAAAAAAATATTGAAGAGAAATAAGAAAAGTCGAAACGAAAAGGGCAAGAACTTTTTGTAAGAAATTTAAAAAAAGAAAATTTTTTTCTTGTACAGAATGAACTTTATTCAAAACTGTGGCTTTACTTCTTTTTTTTTTTCTTAAATAACTCTCGAGTAAAATTATTATATATAATATATATACGTTTTGAACGGAAATTGTTCTGTACAAAAATTTTTATGAAAAATCGTATAATCGCGAATTGATGTATATTGATTAAAAGTAAAAAAAAAAAAAAATAAATAAATAAGAAGAGATATGTATTTGTTCCTGAAGAAAATATAGTAAATATTAAACACATAGTAGTGATAACAATAATATTAATGATAATATTATATAAATATATATTAAAAAAAAAAATAAATAAATAAATAATTTGATGGTACATACTTTCGTATATTATAAGTAATGATTATATAAATATTATCGCAATTATATTGTAGGGATATTGGTACGGTCTTGAAAGATGCCTTGCCTGTAAATGTAATACACACACCTACATAATGTTCACTCGATGAACAAATCTTATTACCTTGTAAATGTTTTACTGAATATAATCGATTATTCGACAATTGAAATTGTTTTCTTAATTTTTAAACCCGACAAAAAAAAACAGTATTCGACAATTCAAGCGAAAAATTAAAAAAAAAAAATTACAACAACTTTTGTTTATTTCCAATATTTGATATTTGATTAAAATTTAATTTAATTAATTAAAAATTAAATGAATCAAAATTTTTCAAACGGATTAACAAAATTTTTCAAAAATTAATTTTCAACTTAAAATTCATTTTTTACTCCTAGTGTGATCAAAATTGGTTTCTGAAATTATTAGAGCAAAGAAAATTTTTTTCATTAAAATTATTAAATAGCTATTTCAATTTGTTTACTTAAATAAAAAAAAAATGTTTTCTCAAAATTAAAAGAATAAAAGATTTCAAAAATTTTGTTTACCTGAGTAATTAGTTAAACGTTTAATAATTAATAAAAAAAAAAGTTGTCAAACATTTATATTGTCAAATAAGAATTTCAGTCAAGAAAACAAAAATTTATAAAAATAACAGTGGACATTGGATTATTTCAATTTTCTAAAAAATTATTATAGAAAACTCTACGCTAAAAAAAATTTTTATTTCATTCAAATAATCGACTATTATCAAATAAATATTTCCTTGTACCAAATAATTTTTCATTCCTAATAATTGAATTATTTATTGAATATTGAATAATTTATTAATTATTAAACATTTAACTAATTACTCAGGTAATTCATTCCTATTGAATTTGAAAAATTAATAGAAAAAAGAAAAATTTGAATTCATTTGAAGAATAAACAAATGTAATTAATATTATAAAAAAATTTGGATAAATATATTTTCTAAAAATCATTTCGATTCGTTTCTCATAAAATATTATGATAAATATAAAATAAATAAATAATAAATAATAAATAATAAATAATAAATAATAAATAATAAATAATAAATAATAAATAAATAATAATAAATAATTAATAAATAATAAATAAATTAATTTTTTATTTAATAATAAATATTTTATCAAAAAAAGCACAATTATATCAAATAATGTGAATTTGAAAATTCATAGAAAAAATAAAAAATTTCAATTTTTTAAAAAATGAGAAAAAACGCGAATTCTAAATTATTTTTTTAAATTCTACAAATTTTTGTTAAAATATATTGTAATTTATATAAATTAATGGATTCCTTTATCAAGGTAGAATATTTTCTACAAAGAAAAATTTTTAAAAAAAAAGAATGACAATTTTCGAAGTTATTGTAAAAAAAATTTCCCAATTTTATCAAAAATCACAACTAGAATATGAAAATTGTAAAAATTGAGATAAAAAAAAGTAGAGGGTTTAAATAAAAAAAAAGTTGTGTAAAGAGAAATATTGTAAAATAAAAATAGTCGCTGAATAAAAATTAAATAAAAATCGCTACCTAAAAATTTTCTGTAAATTAAAAATATATTTAAAAAGAAATTCTGTCAAATGTCAATATTAGAAAAATGAAAATTTATTTAAAAAATAATATCTAATAAAATTTTTTAAAATGAAATAATTCTAATTAATGATTTTTATTATACATTGAAATTTTGAAATTTTAATAAACAATTACATTTAAATTTGTATTTAACTATGAAAAAAAAATTATAAATTTTAATTTATAAATAGGGATTATCAAAAAAATTTTCATGTAATTTTCAATTGCAAAAAATTTTTTTTTTAAATTTTGTACTCTATTTTTTAAAAAAATTAACCCGTTTTTCATTTTTAACCCCTTTTCCCCCCTTGAAAATATTTCTCGTTATTTTTATTTGGAAAATTGTGATTTTTTTTCCAATTTATATTGAAAAAAATCACAAAATATAATATTTAAAATATTTTTTAAACAGTTAATTAATTAATTGATTAATTGAATTTAATTATTAAAAAATTAGTTATTAATTATTTATTATTAATTTTTAATTATTAATAATTTTTTTAAAAAAACCGCAGTAATTGGAACAAAATCACAAAATATAGTATTTAAAATATTTTGCAAACAATTATATATTTTTAATTATTAATTAGTTGATTAATTGGAAATTAGTAATTTAAAAAAATGGTAATTAATTATTATTTATTAATAATTAATAAAAAAAACCGCATTAATTGAAACAGCTACAATAATAACTCTTACAGTAAATAAAAAGTACATCGTAAATAATTGCGAATTAAGTTTATTTATTATTTCGAGTGTTTTTTTTTTTTTTTTTTTAATCATGTTACAGAAATACAACTCGATCTGTAAAAAATACAGTTCGACGCATTTTTCGTTTATTATACATAATATAAGCTTATCGAACGGATAAAACTATGTTAATGGAAAAAAAATTTAATTAATTGTCATCGGAGATTATCGTTAAAGTTTTTAAGATATTTACAATTAGCTCTAGTTTAATGGTATGTATATGTACACACATACAAATTAGCACCAAAAAAAAAAAAAAAATTTATGTAAATTAGTCGAAGGTAATGCAAGCGTCAGTTTTCATTTTTTTTTGTTTTTTTTTTCTCTTTTTCAATAATTGTTACAATATTTTTCGTTGATTTTTCACGATACATAGATATAGTTAAAAAAAAACATTCGTTAAGGTTTCTCTTTCTCTCTCTCTCTCTCACTCATACATTCTCATTTTTTTCTAAAATTAAAAAAAATTTTCCAATAATAGAAAATTTCAAAATTTTAAGAAATATAAAAAATCCTAAGTAAATAAAATCGTTATTATCAATCGTTATTATATTTAAAATAAAAATTATTTATTTTTTTAGTAACAAAAATTGAAAATTTTCCTTTTTTTAAAATTTTATCCACTGAAAATTGATCGCAAGTGATAGCCTCAACCTTCAATCTATAGAATAAATAAATTAATCTTTTTATAGTCAACAAAAAAATTTTTTTTCGATTATTTTTTTATGACTTAAGATTCATTTACAACAAAACAAAAAATACTTCCTCTATGAGAAAGAAAAAAAAATTATTATTATTATTATAATACGGCTTCTTTCTTTCACTGTTATATTTTGATTTATCTCGAAATTGCAGCGAGTTTTTGTTTATATTTTACAAGATCCTAACAAGTGAAAAATGGCACAGATTCACGGTGAGTTATAATATAAATAATATAATATATATACTTTTTTTTTTCATTTTATTCTCAATCACAAAAAAAAGAAGCTTCGTAAAAGACTAATTTTTTAAGCCTCAATTAAAAAAGAGAAAATTTTCTTTTTCCTCATCTAAAGCAAAAAAAAAAAATTTATTTCATTAAAATAAATTTTGTAGAGAGAAGGTTACGCAATATCACCAGCGAATATTTTTCAAAAAAAAAAAAAAGAAAATGTTATTTTTTTCCAATAAAAATAAACTACTATTTTTTGTTTAATAAAACAAAGAATTTTTATAAAACAAACAAAATTTTAATAACAAAATTTTTTTATTATACAAACAAAAATAATTTTTTACACCCAGAAAAAATTTTTTTGTTTACTTTTAATTGTAATGAAATTTTTTTTTTAGCACACTTAATACAGAACCACTGATGTGTTACGTAACAATAATAATGTTTTAATTATGTTTCGGTAACACAAGTTTGTAACATGATAATAATGATATTCTTGTAAACGTAGAATTCCATATTTTAAAACGTTAAACATGTTTTACAATTTTTATGTTATGTTTTTGTTATATTACACAACTAAGATTACCGTTACGTTACACATAACGATTTTAGTTAGGTAACACGTAACGTTCTTTGTTAAAAAGTCTGTGTTACCGTTACGTAACACATAACGATTATTGTTCAGTAAAATCAAATAAAATATATTTTTGTTACACGACTAATGTTACCAGTACGTAAAAGGTAACGTTTTTTGTTACGTAACGTAACGAAAAGTGTTATAGTTACGCAACAATGAATGTTAAAGTAACGTAATATGACGATTATCGTAACCTGGAAGAGTTACTATTACGTGACTTGTAACACTTCTCGTTACGTTACGTAACAAGGAGTGTTACCGTTACGTAACACAACTATTTTCGTTACATAATTAATGTTACTTTAACGTAACTCAGTGATTTTCGTCTCGTAATTATTGTTACCGTTACGTAACACATCCTTGTTATTATAACGTTACTAGTTACATAACTAATGTTTCTTGTTAGCGTTAAGTAATACGTAACGCTTTTCGTTACGATGCGTAACAAGAAGTGTTACCGTTACGTAATTCAACGATTTTTTTTCATACCGTTACGTATCATATTCATGATACTGGAATGCTAGTAGTTATACAACAAATGTTGTTGTTACTATTACGTAACACGTAACGCTTCTTGTTACGTTGCGTAACAAGCAGCTTTACCGTTACGTAACACAACGGTTTTTTTTTCATAAGTAATGTTATCATTACGTAACACAGTCTTGTTACTTGTAACTCTACTAGTTACACAACAAATATTACTTGTTACCATTAAGTAACACGTAACGTTACTCGTTACGTTACGTAACACAACGATTTTCGTTACATAACTAGCGTTACCGTAATGTAACAATGATTTTCGTTATACGACCAGTGTTACTGTAACGCTCAAAAGTAACGTAACGGTTTTTTAAGAAAAAATGTAAAGTTTTTTATAACGTAACGTAACATTAAAATTAGTGTGTTACATTATTTTGAACGTTTCATTTTGGTAGTTTGAAAAAAAAAAATTTTTTTCAAGTTTAATATTTATATAAAAACCTTAACTGGGTGTTTTTTTAGCAAAGCTAAATTTTTGATTTTTTTTAATTTTTGCTACTTTCTCGTTAGTAGGCAAAATTGTTAAAAGTGGATTAAGGATTATTATCGATTGTCTTCAATTTGCACAAATTTTAAATAGAAGATAAATCGCATTAACGCTCAGCGCTTGTTACACACATATATATATTTATATAATTTGTTTTTTTTTTAATCTGAAAATTTATATAATATATATTTATATAAAATTTTATAATATTTATTTTTATATATATATATGTCTTATTTGCAATAGAGTTTTTTTCAATTATAAAGAAACTCGAGACTAGCATTGGTCAATGGCCTTTACGTTCAGGACCGAGATTTCTTGCTTTTTAACTTGAACCATCCTGCACTTTTGTTGGGGTCGCGTGGAACGGAAGTGGATCTGTTTAGTTCCGGCCTAGAACTCACGCTGCGAGATTTGCTGGCCAACGACTCCGTGGAAACTGTTCTGTCCACTTTTTGCTTGTCTTTTGACTTCAGCGTGCTTCGATTCATTGTTCCTATAATGATAATTAAAAAATTAAAATTCTGTTTTATTTAATAAGTAAATAATTCGATTTGAAAATATTGATTTATTAATAAATTTAATTTATTTCTTTTTCCAAATTTATTTTTATATTTAATTTTATTAATTATTGAAGAAGTTTCTATATTCGAACGGAAATTTTTTTTAAATTAAAAATTTTATTATAATTATTTTTGAATTAAAAAAATTTCAAATTAAAAATAAAATTTTTAAATAAATCTAATTTGATTTTCTTTTAAATTTAAATTTATGAATGCTTATTTTAAATGAAATATTCAAATTTAATTAATTTATAATTACAGATTTTATTTTAATAAATTAATTTTAAACAAAGAATTTAAATTTTACATTTTACTTTTAATTTAACACTAAAATTTTATTTTTATAGAGTTAAATTTTTTTATTTTATTTAAAATTTTAGTTAGAAAAATATATTTTCAGTTTCTGTCATGTTTCAGTTCTTTTTTTGTTTCTTTGAGAATTATCATTTGATATAGTTAGGTTAGAAATATTGCGCGCGCAGCATGTGAAGAGTGGGAATTCACGAGCTCTGAAAGATAGAAATTCCCCCACTCTACGAGTGATGCGCGCGCAGTATTCTCAATAAGATACTGCTCCATTTTCGAAGTATTTAATTATTATTAATGGTAAAAAATTTAATAATTAATTACAAAATAAATAAAATATCATCATAAACATAAAAATTATTTAATAAACAAAAATTTATTTAATTAATTTAATGACAAAAAATATTATTAAAATTTAAGATAGATATTTAATTGCAATTTTTTTTTAATTTCTTACTTCTTTAAAGTAATCAAATTATTTTCTAATGTTTCAAAAAATTTGAATTAACTAATAATTTTTGTTCTTCTCTAAAGTAATTATTTTTTTTTTTAATTTCAAGAAAAATTTTATTTATTTGATTAATTATAAAAATAATTATAACATTTTTCTTCATGAATTATAAAATTATAATTATGAGAAGTTAATTGTGATTAAAAAAAAAAAAAAAAAAATGAAACTTGCCTGTTTTAGACAAATTGTCCTTGCTCCGACGAGGATCTTTGCCACGACGACTGAGAGTCTCGCGACTTCTTTGTCTGCGCTTCATTGTTATCATTGGTTTTTGATGTTGTTGTTGATCGTAATTTATTTCAAATGGTTCACGATAGTGTTTTGGTCTCCATGGTGCAAGGACACTAACACTTCTTGATACGGTCCTCGTGTGGGCTTGAAGAGGACGATTTAATTCTTCACGACTTGCTGCTCGGCGTCTTTCGTTCGGTCCAGGAATTTCACCGACTTTTAGAAGAAATTGAAAGAAAAAAAAAATTCCATTAACAAATAATTACAAATTTTTTTTTTAATTAAAAATAAAATATGGTTTTTGGGATCAAAACATTTTTATATACCAAGCAAAGAATTTATTATTATTTTTTATTATTATAATTATTATTATTTTATAATTATTTATTTTAAATATTTATTATTATTACTATTATTATTTTGTTTATTTATTTGTATTATAGAAAAATGTTTTTTTTATTGAAGATTGGAATAATAAAATTAATAAATAAAAAAAACATGTGTAAGTAAAATTAAGCAAATAAACTAATAAATTTATTGTAGGAATCGACAGGAAAGAATAAGGTAAAATTGAAATTGACAAAATAAAAATTATTATCTCACCTGTGGCAGCGTGAAGATAAACAACGGATCTTTGTGATCTTTGGGAATTCTGGCTTTGTTGACTGCTGTCGCCTGTGGTGCTTTCCCCAGACGACAAAGCGCTCTCATTGAGCCTCGATGGTTTCCTCGGACTCGTTATAATTCCTAAATTACGTCTCGATGAATTCGTTACATCACGCCTCGTTGAAGCGTGGTCGTCATTTCGTTTATTTCTAAATCAAAAAGAAAAATCATTATCAAATTTTTATTTTCTTTCTAAAATTTCTTTATTACTGAGAAAAAAAAACTGAACTCTAGTGAGTAGCAATCATTTTGAAATTTGAACTGAAAATAATACTGACTCAAATAATAATCTGTTTTGACTCTTTTTGAGTTTTTAGTGAAATGTTAAATTATCGTAGACAAACAAATAATTACTTAGAAAAATATTAAATAAAATAATTGTTTTTAATAAAGAAAAACGTTGAGCCTAAAATTTTAATTCTCAAAGTTGATTTACACAAATTAAGGAAATTAAATAGTGTTTCCCTGTTCCCTCATATATTTATCCCAATTATTCATTATCTAGTATGAAACACTTGCTTTTAGCCACTAAATCCAATACGACGCACTAATCACATTCAACAAATTTCTTCTTAATTTTTTTTCTCTTTTCAATATTTTATTTAATTTGGTTGGTTTCCATTGTCCCCACTCGTCAATTGTCATAATTTACCTCAAATACCGCAACCTGCTCTAGTAAAAATTTAGTAACTTTTAATTTTAACAAGAAAGTCACTAAAATTTTAGTAGAGCAGGGTGCGGTAGTTGACGAGAATTATCACAAATGGCGAGTGGAGACAATGTAAACCAACCATTTACAAGATTCTGCAGTACTACCAACATATGAAAATATCACAATGTCAAACATAACCTATATTTTTACAGTTTATTTCTATTCAGATTCATTTTGAATAACGTGAAGTTATCTTCTAACTTATTTTGTTCCAAACTCATAACAAACATGAGTCCAGTTTTTTTTTTATTTTTCAATAAAAAAAACACCTACCTTCGATCAAGATTCGATGATATTGATTCCTGATCCGTATCGCCAAAAAATCGTAAATTCTTCTGCACAGATGCTCGCTCGGGTGCTGATGATGCTTCCTCGTCCTCAGTGCCAGTTGTCAGTATTTCACTTTCCGGTATCCTTGGCTTCTTATCAATTGGCTGTAGAAAAAAAGCAAAAAAAAAAAAAAAAATTCTCGTTTTAGATATCATCTGTGTAAAAATTTCAGAAAAACGTTTTTCACGTCTTGGGACTCTTTGAAGTATTATCATCATCACTTCTGGTAATCCGCCCCTGAAGATGATTTTAGCTGATAACGTTGATGTATAGTGAGAAGAGGGCGCAAAAAGGAAAAGGTGGTTTTTTTTTCTTCTTCCCGAATACAAAAGGCACGAATCCTCTCATCGATTTCTGAATAAGGGGGATCCAAAAAAAAAGGGTGAAAAAATGGCAACTCCACACCACGCGGCGGCGTCTTGATGAGTCATGACCCCATGGGTTGGCTCATTCGATAGATCACCAAGCATGGCGAGATTCACGCGCACGCAATCAACTCAAATGGCTATCATGTACCTCTTTCTCTCTCTCTTTCTACCGTTTTTTTCTGTTTCTATCGTTCTTTTGCAGAAAGAGAGAAAGAAAGATAGAAACAGAAAAAAGTGGCAGAGAGAGAGAGAGAGAGAGAGAGAGAGAGAGAGAGAGAGAGAGTACCGCCTAGGATTGGAATCAGTATCTGGGAGAGATTATTCCGGGAACGATGGTTAGCTAGGCAGACTCTCGGCACTTAATCTTGCGATTAAATTAAACCACAGAGCGCGGAGTTAGTTAAGCATTTAATCAAACTGGTAATTGGAGGTTGTTCTAGTCTAATGGCCCTCTCGCGCAACGGCTTTGGAAAATCATTGATGACTGATGAATGCATCGCTTCATCCACTAATATATGTCTCGATAACATAGACCCCTGTGACCTCCATTCTACCGCAATATTATCATTCATCAACACTCTTTGTCAGAAATCAATCTTCCATACCTAAAAATTAATAATATTTTCCCCTCCTCAATCATCGAAACATATTTTTTGCGACTATGACAATTCGATCATGCAATATTCAAAATGTATATATATATATATATGATTTAAACACGATGTTCGTGAAAAAATATAACTCTTCACGTTTTGCAAAAGAACGTGCAAGCATGCTTGGGTTATAATTTTTTTTTTTTTAAAGGGAGCGGAGGGGATTGAGTACGTTGCGGTACTGAGTCAAGTTTTGTGGCATGATCTTCCGAGTTTATGTACGTCAAAAAGAACCGTTATTCATCACGGAAAGAGAGAGAGAGAGATCGCCCACACGTGCTTTTGGCGAGAGCAACATACATGTTCTGTTCATAATCAGAAGATGACCAATTTGACCAGGTTTATTTGGATCGAACGAATGTAATGATGATGTCATCACTAGGATTCGCATTAATAGAGAATACCAATTTTGGATATGTGAAACTAAATCCTATATTCGATTATTAAAATGGAAGATTAATTCCCGAGGGTTTTTTGGTTTTAGATGGTGGAAACTTAGAAGAAGTTTGTATATATAGATGTAATAAGTCATATGAGTGGGTTTTATGGAAAGAGATAAATGACATAAAAAGGGAACGAGTTTATCCGAAGGACATGAAAATGAAGCAATATTCGAAAAAGAACCAGAAGAAGCATTAAGTACTTTTAAAATTATTAGCTACGTTTTAGCTGTAAGGGTCTGTTATTATAGGAGACTTACTTTAGTCAATAAAAAACTGTTAATTTAACATATATTTAACACTGCAGTAGCTACACAATCAAAGATTGCTAATTATTAAAAAGGTTTTTTTTTGAACAGAGGAGCTATAAAGTCACCTAAACGATTGTTGTGGATGAAGAACGGATTTTCATAAACTGAAGACGATATCAGTCATCTAGAAGATTTCTAAGGATAAAAAATGGTTTTGCATTGAACAAAGGGGCTACAATCATCTGGAAGATTGCTACATATTAAAATGGGTTTTCTTGTGAACAAAGGAGCTATAAAGTCACCCACAGGGTTGCTGGGGATGAAAAATGGATTTTCATAAAACGAAGACGATATCAGTCATCTAAAAGATTGTTAAGGATTAAAGGGGCTCTCTATTAAACCTAAAACCTCTACTTTCATCTAGAAGACTACTAGGGATAAAAAATGGTTTTTCATTGAACAAAGGAGCTACAGTCATCTGGAAGATTGCTACTTATTAAAAAGGGTTTTTCATTGAACAAACGAGCTATAAAGCCACCTAAAGGATTACTACGGATGAAAAATAGATTTTCGTAGAACGAAGAGGATAATAGTCATCTAGAAGATTGCTACAAATTAAAGGGATTTTTCATTAAACTTAAAACGTATACAATTATCTAGAAGACTGGTATATGGATAAAAAAATGGTGTTGCATTGAACAAAGGAGTTACAGAGTCATCTAGAAAATTGCTACTGATTAAAAAGGGGATTTCATTAAACAAAATAGCTACAAATCTAGAAGATTAATACGGATGAAAAAGGGGTATTATAGAACAAAAAAGCTATTCAGTCATCTAGTAGACTGCTACGAATGAAAAAGGGTTTTCCATTGAATAAAGAAGCTACAAAATTATCTTAAAGATTGGCAAATTTTAAGAAGAGTTTTTTAAAACAAAATAATAATCTGAAGGATTGCTACGGCTTAAGAAGGGTTTCATTGATCAGATGAACTATACAGGCAATTTAAGAGTTTTCTGTAGATTAAAAAGGGAGTTTTATTGAACCAAGGAGCTATACAGTCGTGAAGAAGATTGCTACGGATTTAAAAGGGGTAACAAGTAATAAAGGAGACCGAACATAGGTGCTATAAAGTAACCCATAGGAATGCTACGGATGAAAAAGGTATTTTTATAGAACATTAGAGGTATTTAGTCATCTAGAAGATAGCTACAGATTAAGAAGGGTGTTTCATTAAAATAAAAAGTAAAAACCTATACAGTCATCTGGAAGACTGCTACGTATGAAAAATGGGTTATCATTGATCAAAGGAGCTAGAGACAGTCATCTAGAAGATAGTTACGGATTAAAAAAAAGTTTTTTCATTAAATCAAAAAGCTATACAATAACCTAGAAGATTGCTACAGATGAAAAATGATTTTGCATTGAACAAAGGAGCTACACAGTCTAGAAGACTGCTACGGGTGAAAAATGGTTTTGCATTAAACAAAGGAGCTACACAATCTAGTAGATTGTTACGGATGAAAGAGGGTGTTTCCTTGAACAGAGGAGCTATACAGTCACCTGAAGAATTTCTGCAAATGAAAATGGCATTTTCGTTGAACAAAGGAACTTTACAGTTATATAGAGGATTGCAACGGATTGAAAAGAGGCTTTTTTAAATTGAGGACTTATACAGTTAATTTGGGATTTTCTGGAGATTAAAAAGGGGGTACGTATAGAAAAAATGGTTTTCATTTAACAGAGGAGCTATTTAGTCTTTTAGAATATTTAGGGGTATCAAAAAGGCGTTTTCTTTGAACAGAGGAGCTATACAATTGGAAAACAGTAAACGTAAGTTTTTAGTATTTTGGAATCATCTAATTTTGTAAAATTCAAATAGAGTTTAATCTAAATTTTTAATTACATAATTTTTTTTCAGTTTGGTTAGAAGTTTTCCTTAAGAAGATAAGAAGAAACATTTTGTTTGAAAAAGGTTTTCAGTTGAAAACAGTAAAGGGAAATTTCGAATGTATTAGAATCATCAAAGTTTTTAAAATACAAACAGTGGTTTATCAGTAGTAATTAAAGGATTTTTAGAAATATTTTTGGTTTGGTTAAAGGATTTTCATTGATCAAAGGAGCTATCATAATTTAGTAACTATAGAAAAAAAAACTTACCTTCGAATTTGATTTCGTTTTCCTCGAAAGGGATTTAAACCATCCCTTTCGCTCTGCCTCTTGACCTTGATTATCTCTGGTGAGGGTGTTTTTGTAGGGTTCCTCTTCTCTTGTTAGTGTTCCAGTTGACCTGGACAATCTTGACGGCTGAGGGGGACTGGGACTTCCACTTGGGGTCGATAGTCGCCTCCGCTGACTATAATCATCCTGCAAAACAAATTGAGAAACAAAATTTACTATTTGTTTCAATCATATATAGGGATGTTAAAAAAATTAAATTATTTCAGAAATAAAATTATCAGCTAACGAAATGTCTAGACAGTATTTTTTGTTTCCTTTTTCGGCGCAAAATGGTGTTAGGGAATTCCGTCGGAAATTATTATTGTTGACCCAAATGGAGCTTTTGTAAATCTTTTCCGAACTTCATTCCTAAACCTTTTTTTCTAAGTTGATAAGGAATTCTTTTCCGTTGGTAAATTTTTTTACCAATTTTTTTTTGTCAAAATAGAAATTAAAAAAGAATCAAGGTAATATAACGTACAGTTTTGTCCGCTTCCTAGGTTGCATTGTGTAATCGCGTGCTGACGCTGAAAATGACTGTACAATAGACACACTCGAGTGTAAACACGGGGTACTTAGCATCGAGCGTATATATCATTAGAGCTTCCGATTCTTGGTGTGTCTTGCGAAAAGGAGAAGTGAATGGAACTCTCCTTTCTCTCTTTCTTTCTCTCGTTTTAGCCACGTGGGTGGTAGCGTCCAGTAGACCCGAAAGGTTACATCTTACCCTCTCTGTCTTTCTCTATCGTTAAAATAGTGACCAAGAAAATAAGTCGCGTAATGATGGTTCGTATTCGCTAAATGCCCTCACATTACTCGCCACCAATAATGATCCGGCGCGGTCTTTCATCTCATAATCTAGAAACTTCGAAAGAGAGAGAGAGAGAGAGAGAGAGAAAGAGAGTTATACTGCCCCCGAGGGACAAAAAATGTGAAAATTGTCGAGGCGACACTCATGCACAGTCCGTGACCGTGATCATCATTATCGTCATCGCCAACATCATCATTATCATCATCATCATCTTCATCATCATCGTCATTATCATTCTCATGATCGTCGGCGTCTTAATCGTTACCTTGTAGTTCATCTGCGCCACTCACTGTGAACAAATTTTTTCCTCTCCTGTTTTTTTTTACAACTCGCAGTCTCATCTCGGTAGGTAGAACAAAAGTGAAGAAAAATCAAGTTTGAATTCTTCGCTAAATATCTCTATAGAGATATAATAAAATAACCTAATTAGTGTTCTAACCCTTAACTGGCACAATTTCACTTTAAGGGTTAATTTTGATCCAAATTTTTGAAAAATGGTAATATTAAGAACCTTTTTTTTATTGTGGGATTGAATGCGATATAAATAGAGGGACAGAGATGGGTTTTAAGCTTTCGATTGGCAATATAATAACATATCACGTCCGATGGGAGTAAGCAATGCAGTCTTAAGTGACTTACAATGAATAGCCCATATCGTGGAATCATCTGCATAGTACGAAGCGAGCGCGCTTCCCTCGTCCTCTCCATATATATATATATATGCGAGCAACAATATCGCGTGTGCCTTCCATAACGAGTCTCGAGGATGTGGTACCCTAGAGGCATTGTGACCCACGCACCGCCCTGCTAACTCTCTTGTGGCCTTCCTTCTGTGTCTTCCCTTTCCTCTCCCTTTTGCTCTACACTCACGGAGAATGCGTTTTATACCCGGCTACTCATGCCTTCTTTCGCGTGGGTTGAAAGATTGGGCTAGGTCGCTTACACACGCGTGCGGACCTCCAACCGTGTACATTCATTTTCTGATCGGTAAATCTCACTTTATGATGATGATGATGATGACGATGCAAAAATCAGAATTTGCATTAAAAAAAAAAAAAATATGTCTGTCCCAATTCTAGAATTATACCCTCTGAAAATGGTAAGAGAGAAGATTGACTTGCTGTGTTTCTTACAAGGTCGTCCACTTTATGGCAATACCACAGAATTTCTAGGAGTAGCATCTGATGGAAAACCGGATGAGCAATGATCGACGGTACGAGCTACCATTAATAACAGAGGGCAAAAGTGGATTTTTTTTTAGAGAGAGAGTAAACTTTAAGCCTCTTCTGATAGTCGATAGTAATAACAATTCTCGGTAATAACTCCAGGGAGTCGAGTATGTAAATCCATTTTCTTTACAATTTCCATTTCCACTTCAATTCCACTTCAGATTTTTTCAATTTCCATTGCTAATTTTATTTTCACTTCCACTTTTTCGAATTTCCACTCTATCATTTCCATTTTCTCTTTCTTTAATTTTCATTTCCGCTTTTACTAATTTCCACTTCCATTTTCAGTATTCCTAACTTCCACTTCTATTTTTGCAATTTTTACTTTCATTTGCAACTTCATTTTCCTTATTTTTCTCTCCTTTCCATTTCCACTTTCATTTCCACTTTTTTAATTTCCATTCCGATTTCCATTTTCACTATTTCTGATTTCCACTCCCACTTACCTTTTCCATTTTTTTTCACGTTCCACTCCTACTTTTTCAATATTTTTTCCTACTTCTTTTTTTCTAATTTCCACTTTCATTTTCTCCTTCACTTTTACCAATTTCCATTATACTTTCTCAATTTCCACCTGCACTTTTCCAATTTTCATTTCCATTTCTACTTTATTTCTATAGTTTTCACTTCCATTTCCACTATTTTTTAAATTTCTGCTTCAAATTTTTTCAAGTTTCTCTTCCGACTTCTTCTCTGTTCATTCCCACTTACATTTTCACATATACTTTTATAATTTTTATTTTCATTTCCACTTTTTCTATTTTCCATTTCCATGTTCACTATTTTAAATTTCTGATTTCATTTTTTCAAATTTCACTCCCACTTTTTCTAATTTCCATTCCCAATTTTTCTTTTTCCATTTTCATTTTTTCAGGATTTTTCTCTGACTTTTTCATAACAAATTACATTAACTGACTTTTCCAGGTTTTCCAGGGAATCGATTATGTAATTCCATTTCCATTTCCACTTTCACTTTTTCTAATTTCCATTCCCACTTCCATTTTCACTTCTACTTTTTCTAATTTCTATTTCCACTTACAAAGTAAAAATTAGAAAAAGTGGAAGTGGAAATGGAAATAGAATTACATAATCCAGGGGGTCGATTATGTAATTCCATTTCCACATCTACTTCCACTTTTTTTCATTTCCAATCCCACTTCCATTTCCACTACCATTTCTATTTCTACTTTTGTAATTTTCATTCCGACTTTTATTTACACTTTTTCTAATTTCCACTCCCACTCCCAATAAAAATTATGAAAAGTGGAAATTGAAGTGGGAGTGGAAATGAGAAAAAATGGAAATGGAATTACATAATCGACCCCCAGAAAGCGCATAGCAACCATGAAGTGAAAATTCAATAAAATGGAAACGTTTGTTGGAGTGAAAATAGGAATAGTGCAAATGAGAATAGAAATAGGAAACTGGAAGAGCGGAATTGAAAATAGGGAAGATGAAAATAGGAAACTGGAAAAAGTGGAAGTAGAAATTAAAGTGGAAAATGGAAATAGGAAACTGAAAAATTTAAAGTGAAAATTAAAGTGGAAATAGGGAAAGTGAAAAATGGAAATAGGAAACTGGAAAAGTGAAAGTGAAAGTTATAGTGGAAATACGAAAAGTGGAAATAAGACACTTAAAAAAGTGAAAGTGGAAATAGGGAAAGTTGAAAATGGATATAGGAAACTAAAAAAAATGGAAGTGGAAATAGGGAAAGTAAAAAATGGAAATAGAAAACTGGAAAAGTGGAAAATGGAAATAGGAAACTGGAAAAAGTGGAAGTAGAAATTAAATTGGAAATAGAGAAAGTTGAAAATGGATATGGAAAAGTGGTAATAGAGAAAGTTGAAAATGGATATTGGAAACTGGGAAAGTGGAAGTGGAAATAAGGAAAGTGGAAAATGGAAGTAAAGAAACTGGAAGAGCGGAATTGGTAATAGGGAAAGTGTAAAATGGAAATAGGAAACTGGAAAAAGTGGAAGTAGAAATTAAAATGGAAATTGGAAACTGGAAAAGTAGAAGTGAAAATTAAAGTGGAAATAAGGGAAAATGGAAATAGGAAACTGGAAAAGTGAAAGTGAAAATTAAAGTGGAAATACGAAAAGTGGAAATAAGACACTTAAAAAAGTGGAAGTGGAAATAGGGAAAGTTGAAAATAGATATAGGAAACTAAAAAAATGGAAGTGGAAATAGAGAAAGTGAAAAATGGAAATAGAAAACTGGAAAAGTGGAAATAGGAAAAGTGGAAAATGGAAATAGGAAACTGGAAAAAGTGGAAGTAGAAATTAAATTGGAAATAGAGAAAGTGGAAAATGGATATTGGAAACTGGGAAAGTGGAAGTGGAAATAAGGAAAGTGGAAAATGGAAATAGGAAACTGGAAGAGCGGAATTGGAAATAGGGAAAGTGGAAAATGGAAATAGGAAACTGAAAAAGTGGAAGTAGAAATTAAAATGGAAATTGAAAACTGGTAAAGTGGAAGTGAAAATTAAAGTAGAAATAGGGACAGTGGAAAATGGAAATAGGACACTTGAAAAAGTGGAAGTGGAAAATGGTAATGGGAAACTGGAAATAGTGGAAATGGGAGTAAAAATTGTAAAAAGTTGAAGTGAAAATATACGTATATATTTATACATAATGGACACCTAGAAGTATCCTAAATCTTGGTGAATATTTTCTTAAAATTACCAAAAAAAACGTATTCCTAATCTTTTATCTCAATTCTCCTTATTGAAACCCCCTTCCCCCCCACCTCATGCTTAATTCATTGGAAATTTATTGAATTATCTCGAAAGCAAACGGTTCTCTTGTGACTTCCGCTCTGCACGAGTATACTGGTACAAATATCATGATACAAAACGAATAGATAATAGAGCTGCACAGGTTGTTGTTGTTGTTTCGCGGGGGGGACACACACTCTATCCAACCTGGTATCTCTACTTATATACATTCGACGAGACCTTATACAGTTGGACACACACTATATACATGAACATATTGATCACACTGAAAATGCCGCTGCATATAGATTCTCTTCTTCTGTGGCTAGTAATGTGCGCGCGAGAGATGAATCTTGCACTCCCGCAAGTTCCTAGTTCAGCTTAACAAAATTCGAATCCAATACTCTCCTTCTTTCTTTCTCTCGTGGAGAGACCAATGTCTATGGATGTTCAATGTGCGGCAAGGATAGAATCCTATCGGCAAATTGCAATCGCAACGTTGAGACTGCCTTGTCGGCGCGCGGCAAATACCGGTGCAGGCCAACGAACGGAATATATATAAGGAAGACTAATATCTAAGCATTGTTTTCTTGTTCAAGAATAAGATTACTATATGCCTTGTCTAATGATTGATATGGCAGATTCATTATCAATTTGAACATTTGTCAGCTAGGGATAATTAGTTGTTGTTTAAAAAATAGTTTTACCAACTTTCATTAAAAGTTAACCCTATTAGCACCATATGGGTCCAGTAGACCCGAGCATTTTCTCGAGCTCAAATTAATTGAATGCGTGTTTAGTTTTTGAATATTTTTTATATTTTAATATATTAGTTTCACATTAGTACATAATAATTTTAAGAAGAACACTGTAAAAAGAAAGTACTAAAATAGTACCGATTTTAGGTATCAAAATAGAACCAAATGACAATTTAGTACCTAAAGTCGGTATTAAATTAATACCTTTCGTTTTACAGTGAAAAAGGGTTTTTCATTGAACAGAGGAGTTATATTTAGAAAATTTTGATGTGTTAGAAAATGAATTTCGTTGAACGAAGGAGCTACACTGTCATCTAGAGGATTGCGTCTACGAATTAAAAGAAGGTTTCATTGAACAAAGTAGCTGTACAGTCGTCTAGATGATTTCTACGGATTAAAAAAGCGGGGTTTTGTTAAATAAAGAAGCTATACAGTTATCTAAAGAATTGCCACGGAATAAAAATATGCGGTTTTCATTGAACAAAGGAGCTATATATGTATAATATTTTCCGGTTGCATTCAAAATCGCTGTCTACTAAAATTTGAGTAATTATTATTAACCTAAATACAGAGCAATAACAATTAAATTCAGAATTTCTAATCTTTAGTCCATATTTCTTTTGGACAAAAAAAATTGCTCTTTGATCTACTTAGCCAGAACAGCGGTTTTTATTGCAACTGCCAAATGATAATAAAGTACAGTGGCAGTTGGTAAAGGATCTAATTACTTTGCAGATTTTCTATAGATATTTTTTGATTTGCTGATTAGGGATTCGAAGTCCAAATCACATTTGTCAGTTTTCGTCTTCCACATTAGCTATTGCTAATCTATAAAAAAAAAAAATTCATTCTCTGCTGTACTGACTCAGAAAGTTCAACTAATTAATTTTTACAATTTTCTAATTCGTTAATTACGAATTCGTTGTATTAATGATTTGTCAGTAGACAAATTAGGCATTAGAAGCTATTTTTCAACCTCTGGTCAAATCTATTCCCCCGGAAATTGAGTCTATCACATGAACTTTAGCAATTGTTATTTCTCACTGTAATCTCTGTTCGATTTGGCAAAAAAAAAAAAAAATACTTCTCTATATTGCACAAAACAAAACTAAATTAAAATAATAAATTCCTTCACGAGCACGAATTGTTTTACACAGAGGATTTCTAAGTCAGGTGCGGATTCGTTAATGGTAACTATTTCGAGAATCTTGCAATCTCACAGTTGAACCCTTCTAACCTCTTATCTGTCTCGTACCAACTTTTCTCTCTCTCTCTCTCTCTCTCTCACTCGCATTTTGAACGCTTTGTGGTTTGTTTCACGACTGTATCTCGTTTTACTCGTTTATGCTAGACTCGCGCTGTTATTGTTATTGCCTGTACTTATATTCGTGTAGGAAACTGATTGCTATATAGCATGAAGCAAACTGTGAGAAACATCATCGCACTAAGCTATATACATATAGAGTATGAAATGACAAGTGGTGGACTTAGATATATTTCACTTTGCAATGTCAGAAGAAATAACTTTGGCTTTATAATCATTTCAAAAACCCACCCACCGGAAGGCAGTTAGTGATTCACAACTCTGCGGATAAATTGAGAGATAGAGAGAGAGAGAGATAGAGAGAGATAGAGTAGTTGGAATCAACAATCAGCAGGAATCGCTTCATTAGTGCACACGGTCAATTTACGCGTTGAGAGAGAAAATGAAGCATCATTTGTGAGAAATTGGACGAATAAGAGGTGTGTTAGTGTTTATTTTGATTTTTGTCTTACCGCGAAAATGATATCGTGCGTTTGTCATGATGGCTTTTTTACGTCATCTCATTAAGAAGCTAATTTTAGAGTTCTTCTTTTTTTCTCCAATCCTTGACACGCAATATTACGCTTGGCTCATCCAGAAATATATAATTTCATTCCAAGAAATTGGTTCGAAAAAAAGGGATATGGTATTTTATAGCCACTTAATGTTTGGATTATAATTAGAAGCAGTTTTTAATTGAGTCACAAAGAGTTATAGATCATGAGGAACGCAATTGAATACTTTGGATAAAAAAAATCAAAATCGCAGTGGGCGATCGATGCCTCATCATCTAGAGGTCGATTATGTACTTCCATTTCCACTTCCACTTTTTCTAATTTCCACTCCCACTTCTGTTTCCACTTACACTTTTTTCTAATTTTCATTCACACTTCTATTTCCATTATCAGTTTTTCCAATTTTCATTCACACTTCTATTTTCATTTTTTACTTTTTCAAATATTCATTCCCACTTCTATTTCCATTTCCACATCTTCTAATTACCCTCTCCCTTCCATTATTCTTTCCAATTTTTCTAATTTTCATTTCCACTTTCACCTTTTCCCATATCCAATTTTTCTAATTCCCCTTCCATTTTCGCTTCTTCCAATTTTCGCTTACCCTTCCATTCCCATTTCCACTTCTTTTAATTTTCAATCCTACTTCCATTTCCTCCTTTTTCCATTTCCACTTTTTCTAATTCCACCTCCACTCCCATTTCCACTTCTTTTAATTTTCAATCCCATTTCCTCCTTTTTTCATTTCCACTTGTTCTAATTCCACTTCCATTTCCACTTCTCCTAATTTCCATTCCCCATTCCATTACCCTTTCTAATTTTTCTAATTCCATTCCCACTTCAATTTCGATTTCCACTTTTTCTTATTTCCACTCCTATTTCTATTTCCACTTCTATTTTTTCTAATTTTCATTCACACATCTATTTCCATTATCAGTTTTTCCAATTTGCATTCACACTTCTATTTTCATTTTTTACTTTTTCAAATATTCATTCCCACTTCTATATCCATTTCCACATCTCCTAATTACCCTCCCCCTTCCATTATCCTTTCCAATTTTTCTAATTTTCATTCCCACTTTCACCTTTTCCCATTTCCAATTTTTCTAATTCCCTTTCCATTTTCGCTTCTTCTAATTTCCACTTACCCTTCCATTCCCATTTCCACTTCTTTTAAATTTCAATACCACTTCCATTTCCTCCTTTTTTCATTTCCACTTCCATTCCCATTTCCACTTCTTTTAATTTTCAATCCCACTTCCTCCTTTTTTAATTTCCACTTGTTCTAATTCCATTTCCACTTCTCCTAATTTCCATTCCCCATTCCATTACCCTTTCTAATTTTTCTAATTCCATTCCCACTTCAATTTCGATTTCCACTTTTTCTTATTTCCACTCCCATTTCTATTTCCACTTCTATTTTTTCTAATTTTCATTCACACTTCTATTTCCATATTCACTTTTTCTAATTCCACTTTGATTTATACTTCTCCTAATTTCCCCTCCCCCTTCCATTACCCTTGCCAAATTTTCATTCCCACATCCACTTTTTCCTATTTCCACTTCCAATTTTCTAATTCCAATTTCATGTCCACTTATTCTAATTTTCACTCCCCCTTCTATTTCCATTTTTTACTTTCTCTAATTTTCATTCCTACTTCAATAGAGGAAATGAGAAAAAGTGGAAGTGGAAATGTAAGTGGGTATGAAAATAAAAAAGTGTAAGTGTAAATAAAAATTAAAATAAAAAAATGCAAGTGGAAGTAAGAAGGGAAGTGGGAGTGAAATTAGAAAAAGGGGAAATGGAAATTGAAGTGGGAGTTAAAATGAGAAAAAAAATGGAAATTGGAGTGGAAATTAGAAAAAGTGGAAGTGAAAAAGAGGTGTGGTAATGAGAAAGTGGAAATTGAAGTGGGAAGGAAAATTAGAAAAAGTGGAAATGGCAGTGGGAATGAAAAAATTAAAAAATGGAAGTGGTTATGGAAGTGGAAATGAGATAAAGTAAAATTGAGAGTGATATTTAGAAAAAGTGGAAAGGGTAATGGAAGGGGGTTGGAAAATTAGGAGAAGTGGAAATGGAAATTGAAAATTAGAAAATGTTGAAGTGGAAATGGAAATGAAATTATAAAAATTGAAAATGAAAGTGGGTATGAAAATTAGAAAAAGTAAAAGTAGCAGTGTAAATAAGAAAAAGTGGAAGTGGAAATGTATTGAAAATGGAATTACATAATTAAAACCCCTCATTGTGGATGACTTCTTTTTCACCTAATATAATAATCCATTATGATATATAAAATCAGTGAAATAAAGAATAGTATTTTCCCTCAATTTATATACCATATACCGTTTGTCAAATTGTTGCGTTCACGAATGGTTTCGCTTGATTTGCTTTCAATGCTCTTAGCAGTGGCAGAAAGGAAACGTCCACGAAGAAGACATAGTGAATGTCAGAATCTTACGGATAGATCGTAGTCAGTATGGCAAAAGCAGTTGCCACGTCGATCACAAGGAAGAGAGAGAAAGAGAGAGAGAGAGAGAGAGAGAGAGAGAGAGAGAGAGGGTTGAGGGATCGAAGGACAATGGGGGATTTTCTCTTCCTAATGGCAGAGGTTGATCCAGCCACAGGAAGAGGACTTTGGCATCGGCAGACCACAGTAAATAGCCTCGGTATCGTGTTGCGAGTAATTGAACGGGCTTCATCTGAAGCCGCATTAACTATTGAGAACGGAATGAGAAGGAGAAAAGAGTAGAGAAGAATGAAGAAGAAGAGTACGTCTGTCTGTTTGTCGGATAGTGCTTGGGGTACGATGCCTACCCACCACACTATCCACTGGCGGCATAATGGCGTTGATACTGAGCTATCTCTCCTTCTCTCTTTCTCTCTCGGTGTACGTGAGGGCAATACCGTATTGTTATTTGTTGGGTTAGGTACTCCCTGCTCCCAGATCAAGTACCCGCATGTCTGAGATACGGCCAAGACTGGAATAATATCTTGCTCGCTTATTGTTACCGCCGCTTGTAGATGGATCATTCTATTATCGAGATAGCGATACGTGGCTTTCGTATACGCAACTATATATATATATATATATATATATATATATATAAATGCTCGAGTCTTCGACCTTCGTTCCCATCACACCTTCCAACCTTCAATTTCATTCATTTCTTCTTTTACAAATCCCCTTTTTTTTCATCATTTCCAAATTGTCTTAATTCTAATTCTTCTGATTTGTGAAATTTTGTTTTAGGCGACCAAAATTAAAAATTAGGCTTACATCATATATATCTTGAGGCATCCATTGGGATTCCACGACAATTTCTGAGAAGTTGCCGCTGCGGAAGAGATTACATAAAAGAGGTAATAATCCACGATTATATTCTTTGATCTCACAGTCTCTCGCGGTGGCAAATTGGTCCTTCAACGATTGCGATACTAATCTAAAATGTCTGGCAAATTAGATTGAATTGGGTTGTTTACATTTATCTTGCACTTTCAGGATCGTCTATATATATATTCAGGAAGATTGTGAGAATCTTTTCTGCCTGAATTATTGAGTCATCGTGGTTTTCATTGGATGAAGGGAACTACATTGACAACAGTAAATGGAAAACTTATGTTTTGGAATCACTTGAATTTTTTTTAAATTAAGGTCAGTGTAATTTAAGAATCATCTAAATTTTCAAAATATAAATAATTTTTCATCTAAGATTAAAAAGGGTTTTTATTGAACAAAGGAGCTATACAATTAAAAACAGTAATCAGAAAATTCTTATGTTTTGGAAGCATCTAAATTTTCGAAATATAAATAGTGTTTCAATTTTTTTCATGTTTAATAAAAAAAAATCTGGAATTAAAATAGCAGAAAAAGGTCCGAACTTTAGTGCCTAATATTACAAATAAAATGGTTTTCATTGAACAAAGAAGCTATCAAATTAAAAACAGTATACGAAAGTTTCTACGTTTTTAGTATTTTGAAATCATCTAAATTTTTAAAATTCCAACAGTGGTTTGCCAGCCATAATTTTAAGGATTTTTAGAAATAATTTTGGTTTCGTTAAAAGGTGTTTTTAAACAAAACATCTAACAAATAGAAACAGTAGATTATCATTCTTTGGAATCGTCTAAATTTTCTAAATGCTAATAGTATTTCATTGCAGTATAGTAAACTAAAGATTTTAGAAATATTTTTTACTTCTTTAAATTTGGTTAAAAGGGATTTTCATTGAAGAAAGGAGCTATATAGTTGCTAACAGTAAACGGAAAATTCTGCTGTTTTGAAAGCATCGAAATTTTCAAAAATACAAAGCGTTTTACCAGCAGTAATTAAAGGATTTCAGGAATAGTTACATACAGCATTTCACCATAACCATTTTAAAAAATATTAAAAATTTTAAAAATCTTCTAATCCTATTTAAAAATATTTGATTATAAGGAACAAAGGAGCTACAAAACTACAAACCTAAAGCAATTTCCAACAATCAGAAACAGTAAATATGTTAGAATATTAATTTAATACAGAGAATATACGCGCAAAGACCGAATAGAGAAATAAAATGTACACAAGGATTTTTGGCATGAAAAATAGTATATAGGCTTTATTTTGACAACGGGTAAACGAGGACTGGCTTCAAATTACCTGAGTACAGACCTTAGGACCTTCGTTCGGGGATGTATGTACATGAAGTGGGGAGATCATAAACTGACCCTTACAACTTTTCTTAAATTTCACTATTTGTATACATAGAAAATAAATATGTCGCAAATATAGTTGTAGTTGCAACAGTAAATAAAAAAAAATCCCAAATTATCAAAAAGAAATTTAGAAACAATTTTTTCTCATCTCTATTCGAAATTCTAGAATTAAACACACTCCTTTAGATCACAGCCAATGCGAAGAGGCAAATTGGTCCTTCAACGAACGCGATACTAATCTCAAGGTGTAGCAAATTAGATTGAATTGGGTTGTTTACTTTATCTTGTGTGCTTTCGGATCGTAGCCGATTGTGAGAACAGGATAAACTTTCCTCCCAGGCTCAGAATTGGCGCAGCAATTCTTTGATCAAAAAAAAAAAAAAGAAGAAGCAACCCAATAAAATCAAATGTGGTGAGAATTTTTGATGAAATTTGCTTCGAAGTGAAACGTGCCTTAGTGTTTGGGTTCATCGAACTTGATTACTAATCTTTTTTTTATCTTGGGCGATGGCTAATACACACGTTTGACAAACAATAGAGTTGGCGTAAAAGATTGCCGACCATCTCCATAGATATTAACGACTGTTGAAACTGTGGTCTAGTTTGTTTTTATGAGCCGTTAGGATTTTTGCCTGATTACCTCCAATACAGAACTTATTTTTCTAAAAAAAATGGTTATATTTCTCATCTTTGTTTTTTAATTCTAGATAAAATAAAATTTTTTGGTTGTTATTTTTTGCTTAATAATTCTTTTTTTTTGGTTAAAGAAAAAAGTAATAGATTTTGTTTCTTGATAGAGTATATATATAAGAGAGAGAATGAAGGGAAAAGGAAGAGGAAACTTTCTATGAAACGCTAATTATTTAAACGACGCTCATAACGGTCGTGGCGGGTATAATTAGAAGGACAATGCGTAAAAAGAAGAAGAGTCGTTAAGTAATTGCTAAGTGTAATTAGACATGCATCTGTTCGTGATAAATTTTACTTCTAGGCGTGAAAATAGCTAATTAAAATACTGGTCTTTTTTTCATCCATGTCTCCACCGGATGTTACAAAAGAAGCTTGATAATATTTCCTCTTATTTTTGCCACAATTGTCGCACTGTTTATCATTTTTACAAAAAAATTTCACGGTATGAAAATTTATTAATTTACCAAATTTACCTATTCGTTACTTTGTTTTCCATTGTTGGGAATCTAATCTAATTTTACATTATGTGGTTGAATATATATAACTTTCGGTTTCTTTTGATGCAGGTCAGTTGCATGACGAAAACATCGTCCTTCAAATATTGATTCGAACCACAGGAATTTTATCGAATTGTACAGATTTTATTACCCATTAAATTAAGATTTAAAATTTTGAATTTCAGTTCTTTGGATTTAAATCGTTGAAACAGTCAGTTAATCGAAAGGTGTTGGCAGGTGGATTATCACGCGTCGACAGGTATTTAAGTGAGAAACTGGATTGAATGGCTCTATTTCAGTAGAAATATCACGATGCCTTTTTTGCATCGAGGTTGAAGATTATAGGCTTTGGAATTGGTGCGAATGTTTCATTAAACCGTCAATGAGTTGTGCTCGAAACAGTTTCTAGAAATTTGTTGATTCAAAATTAATCCAAATAGCAAAAAATGGTTTTTCATTGAACAAATGAGCTACCTGCAAAATTTTTAACTTTGCAATCATCTAAAGTTTCATCAGCAGTAACTAAATTTAAAAAATATTTTTAATTTGAATAAATGGTTTTTCATTGAACAAAGGAGCTAGAAAATAGAAACAGTTGAAAATTCCACTATCTAAAATAGCAAAAAGAGGTTTGAACTTTAGTGCCTAATCAAATGGTTTCCATTGAACAAAGAAGCTATTATTAAAAACAGTTAATGAAAAAAATTTTTGAATCTAAATTTTAAAAATCAAATACAATGATCTTGATTTCTTGGTTTTGCAACAGAATGCAAATAACTTCGGGGGAGTAAGATTGAGTGGGAGAAATTAGCATAATGCCGGGAAGCATTAGAGCCACGAGCGTAAATTGAGCGGCGGCTAGCATATAAAACTCAAAAGAGTATATAGCTGCTCGCGGAAGATGTAGTGTGATGAAAGCGATCTTTCTCACAATCCAACTCCCGCCAGCTATTTTCTTACTAAGAATCAATTTGGATTTCGCATTTTAGAAATCTTATATACAAAAGGGAAAGAGAGTGAGATACAATATAAATGTTAAATTAAAGACAAAAAGAGAGAGAGAGACTATCATTCCTCAATCGTCAAGGGGGATAAGTATCTCAGATCGTGCAAGACGTTAACAAAATATTCCGTTATGCAAGACTTTAGTAATCGAAAGAAAGATGGAAGAAGAAAGAGCAAACCGTTTTATTTAAATGATGACCATTGTTTAAATCACATCAATCAGATGTAAATACTTTGGGGAATATCATTTTTTTTTTTTTTTTAAATAAACAAATTCTACATTCTCAGTTATGGGGATATATCTATACATTCTTAAGGTAAGAAATCTCGACATTCTTGAGTGAAGCGAAACATCTAGATTCTTTAGCGAAGGGGAAACAACTCTCTCGATGCGTTTTTAGCTACACATCTGAAACATCTGTTTTCAAAGAGTCTCAGGTATCTGTATCAAAAGGAGAGCTACAGCAACATCTACATTCCTATCAGAGCTATATAGAGGAACATCTGTATCACCAGGTGCATCGCTAATTGAGAGATCAAAGACGTAGAGGTTGTGATGAGATGCTTTTAAATCTTCTCAAGGTGGCGACACTTATCAAGTTCTCAGCAAATTTTGTCGGACATTTATCTCGTTAATCGTATATTGCAGATAACTAACCAAGGATCGGTATTCATGCACAGGTGCATTGTCATTGAAGATGGTATATATATAAGTATGGCGAGCGCACTTCTCGTACATATACCCCATGGCGGATTCTTTGTCGGTGCCTGTCACTTTCGTAGCTAATTATAAGCCGAACAAAACCTCCACATTAGCGATAATTGCCTGCTAGTGAAAAGAGAGGGGAGGATCAGTGAGAGTGAGTGAATACAGAAAAAAGAAATAGAGAGAGATAGAGAGCAAAGAGAATAGTGACAATGCACTTGGGGATTTTTTTTTAACTCTTCTGTATCTAAAACCCTCTTTCTATCACTATCCAATGGTCTCATCGGGAACTGATCGTTCCATCTCTATGGCTTTGTCCCTTGGCCTTTTTTATACCTCTCTTTTTGCGCCTTGATCGCCGCGGTAAGAAAACCTTTATCCAATGATGCAGAACGCCTCTGCGGGCATTATCAATCAAATGCATCCTACTCTCTAATCTAACATTGCCACCAGGGGATGCCGATGTCTAATATCTACTCGAGGTTGCTGCGTATCTTTTTTTTTTTTGTTTGCACATCCATTGCACACATCATGACCTTCAGAATTGAGAAAATTAATCAAATGTAATTAAATATAAACACGGCTGTCTTATATATATATATATATATATATATATAGAGTGCAAGACAGTTGTGGAATAATTGCCGGTAGAAGCATTGATAGATTTTTGAATTATTTTTGTGATGGAATGGAGGATTTTTTTGGGAGATGACAAAAAATTTTAACTTGTCAAAAAAGGGTTTTCATTGAACAAAGGAGCTATATAAATGAAAACAGCATACGAAAGTTTCGGATGTTTTGGAGTCATCTAAATTTTGAACAGTGGTTTACCAGCACTAATTAAGGGATTTTTAGAAATAATTTTGGTTTGGTTAAACGGGGTTTTTAAAACGAAGAATGTATCAAATAGAAACAGTAAATTTAAGGTTCTTATTATTTGCAATTAAATTTTCAAAATGCTAACAGTGCACCATTGTAGTAGTAATCTAAAGATTTTAGAAATATTTTTTACTTATTTAAGTTTGGTTAAAAGGGATTTCGGATTTTCATTGAAGAAAG